CACACACACACATAACAGACAACACATACACACATATTTATGGCGCCATCCGCCTACCTACCTATTTAATTAATTATATGTACTAAAAAAAAAACGATAAACGATAAAAAACAACAAACAACCTGAGAATGATGTCAAAAGCTAGTGTGCGTCTAAGCAAACCCTAAGGAAAGTCCACACAGCCTCCCCTAAAACAACCAAGAAAAAAAAAAAAACAAAAACCCCAATCCAAAAACACTCTAGAAATCGTCATTCTGTGAGCTTGAGCGGAAAGCGTTTTTCGTTGAGGAGCTAGATCTATGCGTTTGAACGTATTAATTATTTAGTTTTTATATTGTATACCTATTATTAAACGAGAAGCAACTAAATTATGTGTTAGATTTAAACAAGGCATGAGAAAACCTAAAAACCCAAAACCCCTTGAAGGCAAAACAGCAAGCGACACGCAGCAGCAAAATTAGACAAATTAAAGCAACGTTAAATGAAATGAAAAACAATTGAAAATCACATCTACGCCCCCACAATCATTCATACACACACACACACACACAAACACACATACACACACACAGATACATTTAAGTTAAGTTCTAATTATGGAAAAATGAGTAACATTAAAAATTGTGAGAGGAAACGCCACAGGCCACACGATACCAGAAGGTCGTGTCGTGTTTCCTCGGATTTATTTCATTTTGAATTTAACTTTTTAATTCGTTTCGAGAACATTTTGTGCAAAAAGAGAAGAGTAGGAAGGAAGATAACGAGAACGAGAGAAATAAAAAAGAATGTCGATATAATTTTTAGTGCAAAATGCTGATTGCAAGTTAAAAAAAAAAGATAATAGAAGAGGAGGATAACTTTTAAATGATTTGGCTTTTATAATAAATGTAGAGGAAGGAAGACAAGGAGCAGCAACTGAATGCAGAGCGAAAGAGTTTTATTTTTTAGTTTTATCCGATATACTATATATATTTAATTATTTTTATGTTTTAATGCTAATGATGTTGACTTTATGCAATATATACTAAAAACAAACAAACAGAAACAACACCAGAATGAAATACACAATATTATACAACAAAAAAACCAAAAAAAAACATGGCCAAAACCGAGAAATTTTTAATTACGTGTAATTCTTGTCATCTTGTCAGGGTCCTGTCCTGACCCCCCATCCCCCATCCTCATAGATGTGCTATATCTTTTGTAAAGAGAGGCGTGCCACGCGTTGATTTTAAGCAGGATTTGTAGTTGTAAGTTTTTCTCCTCCCGACCCCACAGGACATCGCAGAAGATCCTCCGACTCGTAGGATTGCGTTTGCCGCCGTGTGGAAATGGAATGGAAATGGTTTTTTGATGAAACAACAAAACAAACTTAAATGGCTTTATATCCCTTTTGAGATACAATTTCAGTATAATTAACGAAACAAAACAAAACAAAACAAAACAAAAAAAGGAAAAAAGAATGAATATATGTATATGTATACACATCTGATAAAATATACTATATACTCGTTTGTATATGTGTATCTAAATGTACAATGGTAGAAGCGAGTCTAGAATAAATGTAAGTGTAATTTTTGTAGTGTATTTGCCGGTCCCCACACACTCCCTATACCTATTCCCCTTACACCCCCCCAATCGATGTGTTTTGTAAATGTTGCCCCGAACAAGAAAAATCTGAAAAAAAAGAAACATATTCTAAATATTCGAACACACGAAACGCTGCAAACACACATATTTGAGAGAAACAAAAAAAACGAAACAAAATTGCTGATATTTTACACTGAACAGAGTTCGAAAAAGAAGAATGTAAGAGATACGAGTCTAGAAAGAATATTTCATTTCATTAGAGTTGAAGTTTTTACTCACGAAACAACGCACACAACAATGAGATGAGGAGAAACATTTGAGAACCTAGTTAGTAGCTGTAAAGATAATCCCAGCGGAGAATCCTCTCCTCTTTAGCATGCAAACAATTTAGAGAAATTTAGCTGAAACTTTTTGCACGCACCGCCCCTCCCTGGTCCCAAGAACCCCCAGACAGGAGACATACTCGTAGTATACAGTACGATATGATATGATATATGTATGGTGAAACGAACTATGGAGACTCACGCCAAAGAAGATGTTTTTAGATGTTATATACTACTCGTATTTAAACGATCTTGACAGATGGACAATTTTTGTGTAACCTAACCGCAGATACGATAAACGTATGCTCTATCTATACGATATATGATATATCCTCCTCAACACGCATGATAAACCTGAAACCCCAATGATGATGATGATGATGATGAAACTCCTGTTGTATTGTGTAAACGGAAGACTTTCTTTTTAGGACTACATATAGAGGAAATTGGAAATGCTTGTTTACAGAGCGTGACAAAATTATAATGATAGTCCCATTAAAAAAAAAAACTGAAAGAATCAGAATCGTTAGCTTAAAACTCACTCCGACTATGCGCGAACTTCATTCGAGAAACACACAACAAAAATCTTGAGACCAAAATGCGTTTACTAACAGATATACTCGTATAAACTACAGATCCCCCACAAAAGGAAGCGAGAGGCCGGCCTACCTATCATTAAATATTACTCGTAAATGTATACCGATGATTAGTTCGTTGACCAAAAGTCAATTACCAATTATATTGTATGTTTCTCACACACACACACACCACACCACACAGAACAAAGGCAGAAGCAGACAGAATAGGGGATTACATAACTGAGAAATATGCATATATACATATATAGGAGATTATTAATTTCGGTAGCCTATGGAGAACTATGTTGTTGAATTCGTAGATATTTTTGTTGTGCGTTGAAAATGAAACATAAACCAAAAGCAAAGCGTAAGATGAAAATATTTTTAAATTGTAACTTCTGTCAATTAAATTGTAGACTGGTGCATATACCAAAAGAAAATGAATATGAAAACTGTAAAACCAAAAAAGAATTTGTTAACATCATCGATGGATGGTGGTCCAAGATGGATGGATGGATGATAGGTTCTGTTCTGTCCCATTGGAGTTTTTTGTTGTGCGTTCCAATAAAGTGCTTAGTATTTGTGTAATATACTACATATATATCATAGCTAATTAGTGCGGCATTATCCCAGCCTAGTGTGCGAGTACTTTTCCCACTCAGTGTCCAGTGCTTTGCCCCCCAACCAGTGTTGAGTAGTTTGCAAAATAAAAGAGTTTCTAGTTGTTGCGCACCGAACACAAAATTATTGCAAAATGTAATTCGCACAATTCGATGAGGCAGATTATTCAGGATATATAGCGATGCCAGAGAGATATACATACTACCTACATATAAACAGATACAAATATATATATATATATTTTGGGAGCATTTGATTCCATTTGCAATTGTTAGTTGGCTTGGCTGAAAAGGAGCTGAAGGAAGGGACCTCCCATATTGATCTACCCCCAGTTGCAGTATTCATTTTCAGCTTTATCGAATACAGAATACAGAATAAAGAGCCGAACCGAACCGAACCGAACCGAAATTGTATAAAAATCCACTTAGAACAGAGCACAACTCAGAGTCAACGCCATGACGAACGGTACATAAAATATAGCTATAGAAGGATTTGACAAGCAAAGAAGGGGCTATACACGATTTAAGATGAAGATACAAACAGATGAGATGGTAGTGGTGTTTATTTTTCTACCAACAGATTTGCAGGCAATGAAAATAGATGGAGTACTTACAGAGCAGAGCAGAGCAGACAAGAGAAGAAAATAAAAGAGAAGCATCAGCAATTAGTAGATCAGTCAGTCGTCAGCCGTGTGTGTATATACGAGATACATATATATTATATCTACCTACATACAATATATATATATTTTTGGAAAGCAAATCAAGTATCTAGATGAATTTTGGCCACGGCCAAGTACTAAGCATATTCGCAGAAACGATATTAATTGATGTAAATGTTGAAAACAAAAAATGTGCTTTGGTTGTTTGTTTTTCGAATGGCATATGGTACATTCGTCGTTGTTCTTCGGTTATTCTAAATATTATATAGACAACAAACAGATCAGATCAAATCATGTGTGCAACTTGTATCGTATTCAAATAATATGGCCATTCCAGCGAAAACAAAAAAATGAAACACACACAAACGCATGACGTGCAGAGCGTCAGAAGAATATATATAAATATATATACTATACATATATGTAAATGTAAAGTCATTACGAAAATGAACAACTTTTTCTGAAAAATAAAGTGTATATTCAAATATCAACATATTTCGTATTTTTGTCATGCTTTGGGAGAGTATTTATCGCTTGAGAGCTCGATATTATTTCTATATTATGTTTATGTGGCAGGGGCCAGATAAGCGAAGGACCTACTTTCCCGATATAAGCTATTACATCTGGTATTTATAGCCAGAGGCGCAGCTTAACGTAATTCCCTATTATTCTTGATCAGGGATCATTTTACGCTTGGTGATCAGCAGAAAATGAGACTAAAAATATAACGTTACCTTTTCTTGATACGTGATCTAAAGCTGTTGTTCAAGAACAAGCAGCACATAAGTAACAGGTAGAGAATGTATCACAGGCGTTCACCAGAACTCAAAAACATGATACCTGATCAGTGGTCGTGACTCCATTGTCCATGATGTGCCGCTCTTCTCTTTTCTCGCGCTTTCTTTCACCAGAATCTAAGCTGCTGGTATCCCCTATCGCTCTCTCGACTTTTCCCTTTTGTTCTAAGCTACACTTTCATTTCGGTTCGGGCTATTCGGATCGTCTGCCTTTGCAATTATTATTGATCTAGCTCTGGAGCGTCTTGACATAGTCTTCGATTAACTGTTCAACTGACTTTGTCCTGGCTCAGCTTAATCCTTAAACCGACTCCTGGGAACTCAGACTTAAACCTCTACCTATGTACATATCTCGAACGTTTCGCTTTCCAAACTTATTTTAAGTAATCATAGAATCATTATACACAGACAATAAACTTATAGACACGTGTGGCATTTGCTCAGGCTTTCATTTAATAGAAAAATATACATAAATACATATATGTACATAGATACATACATATGTATGCAGATATGCCATAAATATGGATAATTTATCTTCTAGAATTTAACAAGAGAACAGATTTTGTTGTCGCCTAACGATATGAAAAAGATTTCTAACTACGAGTACTAGATGCATGAGAGTCGACAGATTGAGTGAGTGGGGGTGGGAGGGGGTGCCAGCAGAAATCACATTTCATACAATCTACTGGCACAATTTTGAGATAGAATAGGATGAGCGTCGCGTTGCTTGGCGATTGTTATTGTTGATGCACTGCTCTTTAGATATAATACTTTGGCAGCCAGAATAGTATGAAATGAACGCAATTTTGCCACTGCGAAAGTTTGTAACGAATTAAAAAGATGCTAAAACAATCGGCTCGATCGCTGACAAGGCAGTTAGCTAGGGGTTAATGTGTGAGGCTAACTAAACGTACGACTTAGAGGCTATAACTAGCAGACTTAACGACTAAAGGAGCTTTGATTCACTTTTGCAAACTGGGCCTGACTCGAGTGGGCCGGAGCCTGGCCCGCTTCTAGACTTGTGTACATAAATAGTTTTTAACTAGCTTTTTACAGAGTGTTTTGGAAAAAATTTACACTTTTTGGTTGCCCTACATTCCGCTAGCGCTGTGTTACGTGCATATCTCGCTGCTGGCGGCGCAGGAGTTGCTCGAGACATTCGCATTCAACGCCCCCGTGCCCGTGGACATGCTGGCGGGCAACACGGCTGCAGGTGCGGGCGAAGAGGTTGAGGATGCTCCTGTCGCGGATGTGGCTGCTGTGGCTACTGTGGCGGGTGGTGGTGGTGGTGTGGTTGTGGAATCGGGCTCGGCCTGCTGTGCCTGGGACGTACTGCTTGTGATGGCATTGTTCGTCCGGCTGTTCTCCAGCTTGGCCCGATTGAGCGCCTCCTCGCGCTCCTTGGCATCAAAGTACCAGACGGTTATGGCATAGCGGGTGCGATGGGCGGGCTGCACTTCGTGAGGATTGCGTATGTCCGACCAGAAGAAGATCAGTCGATCGAACTTGGGCTCAATGTCGGCCACAGTGGTTCCAGGCGTGGGTCGAATCCTATAACCAGTCAACGGATTACTTAATTGTTCAAATTCAAAGGACAGAGGGAGATCTATCAGCTTACCGCAGTATTCCACCGCTTTCTCTCGCATCCCAGTTGATATTCAGGTAGTAGATGGCTGTAATGACGCGGCCGTCCTTGTTGGGATTATCCACATGCATGACATAGTGTGTGCCCGATCCGGGATAGCAGGCAACCATCGCCTGAAGAGGGACAACCAATGCGATTAGCAAATCTTTTGAGGATTCCCATAGTAACTGCTTACCCTCGTGCGCTCCCTGATGTGATAGTTGCCCAGGATGCCATTGTCCTTCATGGTATTCACGCGATAGACCACAGAATCAATCTGGCCGAGGAGGGGAAACAAATTATTCACAGATCCTTTGATTCTAGAGGATATCACACACTCACCTGATTGGTCAGATACCAGACGTTGCTGCAACCGGGCTCATTGCCGCCCACCCACTTGATCTTGTCCCCTCGAATCTTATCGCCACGCACCGCCGAGGTTGGGGCATCGGGCTTCTGGTTGTGCACCAGCTGTCCGTCGTGGAAGGCGCCAGCATTGTACATGCTCCGCACTTCGTTGAGGATCTTCAGACCCGTCTCCATTCCCAGGAAGTCATCCACCACGGACAGGCCGTACTGGTTCATGTCGTTGATGATGTTCCGACACAGATCCTCATAGCGCCGTTCGCTGTGTGGGGGGAAGACAGAGAACAAAGAACTTTGATGAGTATCCAAGCCAATTGCATTTCAAAGATACATATGTGTATATGGAAGCTCTCTTTGAAGGCCCTCTATCTAGCTTTCTATCTATCTATCGATAGATAGATCTATAGATGCCTATCTGGGTGAGGTCACCTTGGGGGAAACCCCACCTGGCAGCATTCTACGGGTCGACTTTCGTCTACTGTCTAGACCTGCCTCGCCTGCATTTCCGATCTATTTATAGACCAACTACTGGGAACGGTTCACGCTGCGATATGCAAGTTTGATTGCATTTAAGCGTTATTTATTTGCTTTGGGTACAACTATAATAATGATATATACACAATATTTTACGACTTTTTTACGATGCCTCCATAAAACCAATATTTTCCCCACAAATCTCTCGGGCAGTCGGTTCTCCGTAGTCACGTAGGCCAGCCACCATCCAGATCGCCCCCAAAAAACGATCGCGAATTTCTGGATAAGCACAACCCTCATACGAGTATAATAAAACAACACGAAAATAAATAATAATAATAAAGATGAAACATTTCTCACAAGTTCAGAATTGCTTTAAAAGGAACAACAGTCCAAAAACCGAAATAAATTAAAATTACTGAAACGTGTTGCACGTAGGATCGAGGGACAGCACGACCGCCCGACCACATATGCTACAAGTTTTTAAATTTCAAGTTTTTTGATACAAATTCATAGACTAAACAAACAGAGAGAGAGATACAGATACGCGGCATTGAAGTTCACAAACAGAAGCCGTCAACCGGTTTAATTTTTGGCATTCATAACCGATGAAATCTGTTAATCAGTGCAAAAACCTCAGCAAAGAAATCAGTTGGGGATGCAATAAATGTACGAGCATCTATCCAGAGAACGTATGTATACTTCCATATAAATAGTACCCATTAACATTGTATTCCTTTATAAGCACTAAGCATCAACTATGATTCCCTTTAAGGATCGGTTTCAATTGTATTCTTTCCATCTCTCAGGACTTGTAGTCCCCCTAGTATCCCCTATCCAGAGAACCTATACTTCCATATAAATATTAACCATTAACATTGTATTCTTTTATAAGCACTAGGCATCAACTATGATTCCCTTTAAGGATCATTTTTAATTGTATTCTTTCCACATAGAACTCAGCTCAGCTTCTATCTCTGAGGACCTCTTAATCTTCCTGATGTAAGATCCTTAGCATCGTCATATCGTTCCACTTGTAGTCCCCCTAGTATCCCCTTTAATTACCGCTTGTCCAAGAGTTCCCGAAAGAATTGTTCGGCATTGGCAGGATGCGCCGAGTGCTTGAAAAAGTTCTGATAGTCCGTTGTGGTGGAGGTTATCATTTTGCGTGGATCACTCAGCGTAGCGTAACCTTCTTTCGAAACAGTTCTGAATCACTTCTATTATCACTAGTCCGATGATTGTTCAGTTAGTCAAGAGTTCTTTGCAGATAGATCATTTATCTTAGCAGGACTGCAGGAGTTCTGTCTGAGCGACTTCTATAGCAACAATTCTCACGCACAAATGAAGAAAGTTTCAAACTGTTCGCGGGTTTTATGTGCCCCGAGAGAGTGGCGGAGAGTGCCACGCGCGTGAGAGCGAGGGAGAGGGAGAGCCGGTTTTATCGAATTGGTGTAGGGCGGCTAAAGCTAATGATTTTTGTTGGCCTTGGCTTGGTGTGAGTGCACAGGTACGAATAATTGCAGATTGCATTTGTTTCAGCCAGCTGTTACGTTTATTGTTTTTGTATTTCTGTATTTGCAGCTGTTTGTTTTTATTAACATTTGTTTCTGCCTGTCTGTCTTCCTTAGTCACGTTTGTTTATCGTTCTAGCGCTTCAGCATTTAATTATTTGGAAAAAAAAACGAGGCGATGCTCCGCTGGCACGAACCGCTCTCGACGACGATTTTGGACGAATGCGGTGGAGCGGCAGCATTTACTGTTGCCCCCCGTTGGTTTCCTCATAGGCGAGAGTGAGACAGAGTAGTGCAGGTTGTCAAGGTATATTAATAGAAGGTAGGGTTTTGCCAGAAGGCTCTCTTACGGTTGTTGTCTTCCTGCTGAAAAGCCAACCTCTAACAGAATTACCAAAAATCGAACAGAGGGAATGCCTCACTCTACTTCATTGTACTTTGGCTTGGCGAGGGTAAGAGCTGAGAGTGAGAGAAGGAGAGCATTGGGGGCCTGGGAAGCGACAGTAGAGCAAAGCGATAAGCACGTCGAGTGTGGGTAAATAATTGACAAATGAAAACGGCGACCGCAGCAGCGACAGCAGCAGCAGCAGATAACAAACTTTGCGACTTGCACAGACAGAAAATTATGCCAAAGCAGGGGAATGGAACGGGGGAATTTGCTGATGCGAAATATGACAGTTGCCGGTCACGGCGCCTCAGTTTTGATTCGTTATCAGATCAGAATATCAAATATATGATTGGTATGACTGGGATTTCCTTCCGTTTACCCTTCAAGCGCTTGCAACGCCCACAGCAGACAGCAAACACACTCGAAACAAATGCAAACAAACCCACAAAGCAAAGCAAACGCAAAGGCAAAGGCAGAAAAAGACAAGCGCAACAATCGTCACGTAGCCCAGCGCACACCAACACATGCACACAGCACGAAAACGTACGCGAACACGCACACGCACACGCGTTAGTTGACCAAACGTTAGAGAGAGACGCCAAGAGAGCAAAAGGGAGTGCAAGAGCCACAGCAGAGCAGAGGGAAGCAGCGAGGAAAAGGTAAAAATACCAAAAATAATGATTCAAGAAGAATACAGCAAATAAATTAAGACTAGGAAGAGGATGGGGATGGGGAAGCAACATAAAACAAGAGCGTGTAGTAGCTCTGCAAAATTAGGTCAACGGCCCAGTTCAAAGTCAGAGAGGAGAGCGCACAGCGGAATGAGTGTAACTAGCTCTCTCTCTCTCCCTCTGCGTTCATACATACATACATACATACAAATGTAGTGTAATGATCGATTGTTAGCGCTACGAGCCCTTCGAGCCCTTCTCGCTTTTTTGGATGTATTACGTGCGACAACTGGCGCGCTGGCACGTGTACCACACGCAGGTCCCCCTACCACCCCCCCCCCAGCCGGTTTCAGCGGGTGGCGGTAGGAAGAACACCCGCCAGGGGGTCGGGGTGCGGGCGGCGCACACGCACTGAGACGACCTTGATGACGTGCGTCTGTCTACGTAGTACAATACTATTTTTGTTCCGTCTGGTGTTTGATTTGTTGTGCGAGCGGCGATGGGTATGGGGCGGATGATTCGAGATCTATGGAAGATTTTCCGTCCATCTGGCGACTATCTGAATTATTGCCCTCATCGTTTGCGGGGGAAAAGGCGAACATGTAAAGTGCATTCCAATTAGGCGACCAACATGGACCCAGGATCTACAAAGTACAGGTATAAAGGAGAAACAATCTGGTAATGGGTGTAACATCGTCTGAAAACTCTTCTGTGAACTTATTTTCCAGGTATAATACAAATCTGAATCTGTTTAGTAATCTGGCATAAACTAATTTCGGCATCTCTGCGAAGTGCAAAGCAAATCACTGCTTAAATCCACAGTGTATTCGTATCTTTCTTGGGTCTCTTGCATTCCCCAAGTCGTAATTTCCACTGAAAAATATTTTATATCGTATATATTTTATAATCTATAAACAATCTTTATAAATTACGCATATTACGATTAGTGCTTCGAGTAGTTCCATCTGTACAGCGTGTTTTGAAAGCTGTTCAATAAGTAAAAGATAAAATAGCTAAACATTTCATGTATCTGTCAAAAGCATAGGTAAATATCCATAAATTAAAGAAAATAATGGTTTTCTTAGATTTTGCATTAAGCTAAATCCTGAATTACTGACAGATGGTAATGGGAACTCGCTTGTGGCTTGGGAACACCTAAGGAAACGTCTTATATGGCTTACAACCTAAACAAATTATAATTAGCTTTTGATTGAGAATAGTCAACAATCTACCATCAATTCGTGACAAGGTCATAGCCCCCCCATAGAATCGTTTTTGCACTGGGTATTGCCCTTTCTTATCCGACGGAGACATTAATGCGGTTCCAGGCGGTTTGCTTTCTTGAAATTTTTGCGCAATGCTTTATTTATCTTGCCCCGAAAATCCCAAGAACCCCAAACCCGTTCCCAATCCCGGACCCCAGTCGCTTGACAGGCGAACAGACGTGAGCAAAAGACCCCCAGCCGCAGAATTTTGCTAACACATTTATAAACAATGTAGAATTTTGTGCAAACCCCCTCCTCTCTCCAATGAGATCATGCCACTGCTAATTGTTTGACAAAGAACAACAACATCAGTTGCTCATCCCGATCCCTATCCCGATCCCGGCATGAGCTGTGGGGAGAAGCAGCAGCAGCAGCAGCAGCAGCAGCAAGTAAACAAAACAAAAGCAAACGAGACGCAAATCGTACTACGATAAATGATAACAACATTTGAACGAAAGACTTGCGTACGCGCGGCACGTACGCAAAATCGGAGACGACCACCCAAGTGAATGGAATGACAGTACGTAACGGCACAGAACGGCACGGCACGGAACGGAACGGCACGGAACGGACCACCCACCCGGTAAGCCCCGAACGATAACAACAAAAGGAACGAAACGCGCAAAATTTCGATGATTCAGCAACGAGCAACGTTTGCAAAAGAATTTCCACATATAGACAGGGTGTGCAAAAACCATATTTATGGTATCTGTTAATGCCGGTTCTGGTGTGTAAAATGAAAACAAACACACCTATGAGAAAAAACAGCGGAGAAAGTAGGGGAGCCACGGATACCGACGCTGTAGATACCCTAAGGAAATACAATCATCAGGTTATCCATGCTACTATGCTGGAGATTATTATTAGTAGGGATTATTCATGAGATTCAGCTGACAAAAAACAGCTGATTGTTGGCCTTCAAGCAGTGCAATATTTCATCTAAATGTTGAGTGTCCCTTCTCTTATGGGACATTTCTGCAGCAATGACTGCGAGTGGCACAGAGTGCAGTCAATCGTAGAGCAATGTAGTACTCAAATTCTGCTTGTTTCGATTCAGCACAGAGACTGGTTCTCCAGGAAACACTCGGATGAGATATGTGTCTCTCCCGGTTTCCATTCACTGCCTTTTAGAGGGTAGCCCCGTCCAGTGAGTGTATTTAAAAGTGATTATACACAATTTTTGGTACGGACAAACTGCGCAACAGAATAATTACAATGTCAGCGCTGTCCGGGTGTCGGTGTCCGGGAAAATGCGACTGCAGGCAGTCGAATCGCAACGAGCGACCGCCATATGCATTCGATTCCCGGGCACGTAATGCCCAAAGGTAAACATTCGCCCCGCTCTCCCCTCCCAGGAGCCTCTTCTCTCCCACGGCACTCCGGGCACAATCTAATCGCCTCCTAGGGGACACGGGGCATGAGATTCATAAATTTCGAGCTCAAATAAAGAACTTTGAGTGGGGAGATGGCAGATGGCGGCACGGAGTGACCGGGAAGAGTCATCCGTCATAAGTCATCGCACGTAACGCTTATCGATAATTGCCTCGATATGCAAGTGGGAAAGGAATGCACACTAATCTGCCTTCGCGCACACTTCACCTTCGTGGCAAGATGGTTTGGCTAATTGCGCAAAAGTACTTCGAGTGTGCGGACGACAACTGTTTCGACTTGAAAAATGATCTAATCAAATGCACAATAACTCGAATATGAGCTGTGGTAGGTGATATGGCAGATCCCACGTAGCCCAAAACAAATATTTATAAGTACTTAACAATGAAGAATGTCATTTATTAAAGCTAGATCTATCGCTCAACAAAAAACACAAATGATATGCACCAGTGGACTCCCCTAGCTATGGGAAAACCCCTTTCCTCTGTCTAAACCGATTTGAAACAAACGTCACAGGCATGTAATCCCCAAAAACCATTCGGAATACACACGTTAGACGGTTAGGAATAACAAAATACAAACAGAAAAAGATCTCCTAGCAAAGGATCGACAGAAAAAAGACACCACAACAGCGAGGGGTAGCCCAGAAGGAGGATGAAGTACTTTCGTCAGCCCTGTCCCATACGGATTGTGGAGGACGCCGGCGGTGCCTTCATGATGGGCACCATTGGCGGGAGTCTGTTCCAGTTTCTGAAGGGATTCAGGGATGCTCCGACTGGAATTCGGCGCGGGCTCTACGGCGGATTGGATTCCGTCAAGTTGAGGACACCCGTAATTGCCGGCAGCTTTGCCGTTTGGGCCGCCACATTCAGCACTGTGGACTGCACAATGATCCACTACAGGCAGCGCGAGGACGCTTGGAACTCGATTGTGTGCGGCGCTGCAACGGGTGGCATTCTCTCTGCCCGCCAGGGCATCCGGCAAATGGCAAACGGTGCGCTGATTGGGTGTTTGGTGCTGGCCATGGTCGAGGGAGCCAGCGCAGCCGTGGCCACAATCTCTGCAGCCGAACATCAGTCCATCGCTCCAGGAGAGGCCCAAGGCAAGCAGCAGCGTCCGCAGTGGGACGTGCTCCAGGACGGGTCCAAAAAGGACTCCGAGTTCGAGCCAGTGATGGACAAGTGTCCGTCGTTCAAGAGCTGCCACATGGGTACTGGCCCCCACTCCTTGTCGGACCTGGTCAAGATGGCCAACGTTGTCTAGTTATCCAGTGAATTCTTCCCTAGAAAAGCCTTCTATTTCTTGGCAATGGAAATCCAAATTATGTTCATGTTCGTATCGATTCATGTTGTGATCCTCACTCTCCGTCGAATGTCTCTGGAGTGCATTAAACGGAGGTGTCATTTATGACGTTGCGCAGCCACACACTCACCTGCCCGATCCCATGAAGCTGGCGTCTGCCAGGCCGATCTGGTAGCTGGAGCTCTTCTCCCCACTGTGGTGGTGGTGCTGGTGGTGATGGTGATGGCTCTGCCGCTGGCTGCCATCTCCCGATGGTTGGGTGTCCCCCTGTCCCGGTTGCCCGAGGAGATTCAACAGATTGTCCACCTCTGCCGGCCAGCTCTGGGCCTGATGGGCCGGCGTCATCATCTGGGCCGTGGAGCAATTGGCGCCAGCGCCACTGCCCTCCAGGGAGGTGGCTGCCACGGCCTGCTGCAGCTGTTGCATCTGCTGCATCTTGTTGTTGTTGTTCTTCTGGCGGGCCAACAGGCGGCAGTCCTGCCGATGATTCGGCCAGTCCATGTGCTGGTGCGCCGCCGAGCAGTAGTAGATGGCCTTGCACTTGGCGCAGCGCAGCAGCTGCTGGGTGGTGCCGCAGATGGAGCAGCGCGGCGTCTCCATGTCTCGGTTCCGGTTGCGGTTCCCCGTGTCCTTGGCGCGTCCCCTGCTCATCATCACAGCATTGCAGTGGGCGGCAGTGGGCGCCGACGTCCGAGTTTAACCTTGAGAGCGCGCTGCGAGTGCGACTGCTGTTTTTGGGTGGGTGTGTTTGTACCTTCGCCCCCCGTCACACACACACACACACAAACAAACAAACGCAACCGCACAGAAATACAACACACGCGCGGATAAGCAAAAACACACACAGATAGAAAACACCCACACACGGAAACGGGGCTGCGTCTCAGATTATTGGCGATTTCAGCTGGTTCCGACGAACGCTATCAATTATTTTGCAAAAATACGGCCGCGGCTCGTGTTAGCCACTTGTGCCCTGCACCATTTCACTCTTGGCCCTCTTTTCGTGGGTATTTAATCACGTAGGCCACACAGATATGCCAAATAAACTACAACAAAAAAGCGCACACACAATGCAGCTGATGCTTTATTCTGCTTCTTATCGGCTTTTCTCTCTTTAGTTGCGCTTTTCACTAGTCCACTTTTACGCCTCGCACCCTGGAGGTGCTAACCTTGACCTGGTTTAATGATTATCAGCGCATATTATGCGAAAAATAGCGCAAATTAAAATTTTTAGCCTAAATTTTTTTACGAGCTAGCGATGGGCGTGGACCGATACCCAGCGATAGGCAATAGCTTCATCGCGCCCACGATATTCGGGCACTGTGCAGCACTAATAGCCGGCAACTATCGATAATAATATTTTTGTAAATTGTCATCACTGCTACGCTATATTTACGGTATCTCGGTATATAATGGTATATTTTGTCAAATTCGTCAATTTATTCAATTTCATTTTCAACGGTATATAGAAATCCGATAAAAGCAAGTATTTAGAATAAGCCAGTCAGGTAGAAAATTGATTCATTAATCATATAAAATTATGTGGGCAAAGCTGAGAGATTTATATACCTGGGAATAATCGACGGAAGAAGGAATAACCAGGAATTAGTCGTCATAACCGGTTCACAACAATGAGTCCCATTCCATGCACACATACCCTGGGGGAAATGGATGTTATCGAATTGTGAATATGTTTGTCTTCCAAGGCTCCGTAGACTTGAATATGTCTAAAGAATATCAATTTGAGAAAAGGTATTAATAAATTACGTTTGAACTTCATATAAAATTAGCGAAATAGGGCTATAGGGCTATACACGCATCACGTCTTCAAATACCAGCAACATTGCGACTGTTTTTTTTGTTGACCTATTTTGTTTAAACCTTTTTTTACAATAAATACAATAAAAGCAAGGATTAAAAACTAACCAATTGTGTAGAAAATTGATGCATTAATTGGATAAAATTATGTGGGCAGCGCTGAGGGTTATATTTAATTAGTTATATTCCACGGAAGATAAAAAACGAGGAATATGTAAATAGAACTTTAATTCTTCAGTATTTTTACGGTATATTTTGAAAATAATACGGTATGTTTCGGTATATTTCTGAGGGTCGGACCGTATTTTTTACCGATAAATCAGCGGTCATACTGATAAACAGATTCTGTGACATCCGGAATTTTTTGATATTTTTGATTTTGTAGGAAACTTTCCCGTTTATCAGTGATAATGCCGTCAACAGAACGTGTTGCCAAGGTGGTGCTGGTGGATATTGAAGGCACCACCACGTCCATCAGCTTTGTGCATGATGTTCTCTTTCCCTATGCCAAGAACAATGTGCAAAAGTTCCTCGAAGAGTCCTGGGAGAGCAGTTCGGAGGTGAAACAGATTGTCCGAGAGCTGCAACAGGTGCCACAATACGCGGAGTACACTGCCACGTTGCGTGTTCCTCCAAAGGAAGTGGATGTGCAGGTCATCACAGGCTTTGTGCGCTATCTGATTGACAAAGATTTGAAGGTGACGCCGCTGAAAACGCTCCAGGGCCTTATCTGGCAGCAGGGCTATGAAACCGGCGAACTCATGGGCCAGTAAGATCTTAATCTTAGATAATTACTGCCTAATAAACCAATAATGAACTTCTATCCCTTCGCAGTGTCTTTAATGATGTGCCTGGGGCCTTTGAAGCTTGGCGTGAGGCAGGCCTTCGGATTGCCGTCTACTCCAGCGGCAGTGTGGCCGCCCAGAAGCTTATCTTCAGGTACAGCATTGTGGGGGACCTGTTGACCCATCTCAGCGCACACTTCGACACCCATGTGGGCCATAAACAGGAGTCCCAATCATATGCAAACATCGCCCAGTCTTTGGGTGAAGATCCAAGTCACATTCTCTTCCTCACGGATATTCCTGGAGGTAAGTGCCGGATGGCTGCCAGAATACATTCACTTAATAGTGTTCTTTCCCTTGCAGAAGCTGCCGCTGCTCGTTCCGCTGGTCTACAGACTATTATTCTCCAGCGTCCAGGCAACACTCCCCTGACCGATGACCAGAAGTACAGCAACGAGCTGATTGCAGACTTCTCCTCGCTCCACACCTTGCAACTGCCCGAATAAATTGCTCCCAATGGGATCATCCAAAAAAGTATACATGTATTGTGGCTAGGTGCTTCAGAATTAAGTGCTTCTCTAGAGGAAGGCGCGGTCCACGCTGCACAAATCATCGCCGCTGTCGTGACTGGGTGTCTCCTGGTCCCTGGGTCGACGTGCGGATCGCTTGCTACGCTGCGACTGGCGCGAACAGGACTTCTCCGATCCATAGATCTTACGCAGCTGCTGTATCTTGCCATCAGCGTCCCCGGCCGGGCAGCTAGACTTCTTTCTGCGCTGCTTGCTGCTCTCGCACGCGTGTCGCCTGCCCTCGCTCTGGCAGGTGTGGCTCAGCTTGCCTACCTCCGGGCCCCAGAAGGTGGGTCCCTCCAGCAGCAAGGGTGCGGACTTGACCCGCTGCCGCATCATGGTCATGTGCAGATCGTACTGACGCTCCTGCAGGGCCTGCTCCGCCTTCCGCGTGGCCAATCGGATGGATAGCAGGGCTTTATGGGATTCACTAAAGGACACACAAAAATAGTTCAGCGAATTAAAGGTCTTCAGATCCTCGAGGGATACTGCACTCACTTGAGCGACATGGACTTCCAGGCGGGCGTCTTGCGAACCTCCCAATCGAACTGTGGCCTGGGATCGTGGTAGGTGCAGTTGTTCTTCAGCTCCTTGACCTTCTTCCGGGACACTTCGGCACGCAGAGTGGCTGCCAGATTGGGACGCGCCACCGGATGAAGGGGGGACACGCTGGGCGTCCGCTTTGGCATATCCTCCTCCAGCTCGAAGATTCTCAAAGGCGGCCGACACTTTTCCTCCGGTTCTGACTGCATCGCTGTAATCTTTGGCTTGCGTCCTCTGCCACGACGTCCGCGCCCTCGCCCAGTTGTGGAGGCACTGCTGCTGCGCTTGGAAGACACGGATGGCGACTCTATCTGAATCTTGGGAACCACCTCCTCCTCCCCCTCCTTCTTCGGTAGGAAATACTTGCTCAGTTTTGGCTGGCCAGTTCTAGGTGGCGTGAAACTCGAGTGCGGGGCAATTCCACCCAGATCGTTGACGCTGAAGCATCGGCGCAGCATCTCCCGGCGACACTTGGCTCGCTCAGCCGTGTGGCTTCCGGGCGGACCCGTTGGATGAGGCTTTTGTGCCGTCTGTGTGCCACTGCTGCTGGTGGTCTTCGGCCGCTTGAACTCCTCCTCGAAGCTCTTCAGGGAACGCTTGAAGTCGGCCACCTCTACGGCATAGTCCTCCTTGAAGCTCTTCAGGCGACTCAGATCCCTCAGGCACTTGTCGTACTCCTCGCTTAGGCAACTGGAGATGGGAGTGATGACTACTGCGGGCGTGGAGCAGCGATTGGCATGGCTATGTGCTGTAGCTCTCAGTGGTGTGGGGGTGGGTGGCACTGAGGCGGGAGCTGGATCCAGCACCAACGGAAGTCTCTTCTTTTTCCCCTTTCCCGCGCGTTTTTTTGACTTTCCCAAGGAGCTGCTGCTGGCACTGGCACAACGCTCCGCCGGGGGCTCGGCTCTGGGTTGCGCTCTGAGCTCACGGCTGGTGCTTCGCAGGCTCTCCAGAGTCGAGTAGAACTCCTCCTGGTGCATGTGCTTCACATCACAGTAGTCTTGAAAAAAACTCGAGCAATAAGTCACCGTAATTTATCCTTTTGGAACGACCACTCACCAGGTATACTGTCGTAAAACTTGGCCAGCGATCGAATCCCTGTCTGGGTGGTCCATCCAGGTGTCTCCGCCTCCATAGAGTCAGTGCCTTTGGCGCGTCCCGTCTTGCCCGTCTGCTTCTTGCCGAGACACAGCTTCGGACGATTGTAGACCGGAGCCGGACAGTTGTTGCATGGATCTATGGGCACTTTGAGACATGAATTCAGATACGCGCGACCCGAGTGCGTACTCATGCTGGCGGGCGGAATGTGTGAAAAATAGTGGAAAAAGGAGCTTTATCAATATTGTGAAACGACTGTTTGGTGGAATTGTTGCCAGCGGTTACCTCCATGGCGTTTGTTTTTGTGCATTTCCGTTTTGGCCGATCCATTCGCCAGGTCACGCACAGTCCGGACATGTCTACGCAGTCGCCGGAGTGGCTGTAATTGTCCCAGATAATGTTAAACCTATATTTTAGATCATTTTAAGTTTGCATTTACTCGGACATGATTTTCCAACGATTATAAATTTTATTTAGTAATTTAAAATTAAGTACGAATTGTCTTTTTTAGTGGTTTTCAACGAAATTTGTTTATAAATGTTATATTTACATTAGAATATAATACTTATTTCGGCTCTACCAAAAGCAGAGAGCGAGAGACCAATTCTGTTGGTTGGTCTGGCGGATTTTTATGATAATTTGAGGGCCCATCCTATATAAATATATCCGTAATTTGAATACATATAACGACTTATATCGTATTGAAACCAGAGCTTTTTTATGCGACCCTGAAGCCGGCGAATAAGTTTTTTATCAGCCAAATCGGCTTCTGAGTAGGGAAATACATTACTCTAGGGAGAAGGATATTATAGAATTGAGGAAATATTTGTCATATCAGGCTCCAATAAATGCAGAAGCTAGTCAGCCTCTGTTTTATTACTATCTTCAACGAAATTTTACTTAGACCATAGTCTGCATACAGAGAACAAGAAAAGGTATTGGGATCGAGATATATAACTGAGAGCTGTAACTCAGCGCAAGATCACTACCTTGCAATACATAAACTGTTAGTGGTATACCAAAACAGGTTTTTATAAATAAATATTCCTTTATTTACGCGCTATACTTATTTCCTCATCGAACTTATCTATTACGAAGTTCCATACAACGAAGTTTTTTATATAATGAATTTATATCCAGAACACTGACATTCTATATGCTGCAAAAACGAACTCTATATTACGAATTTTCCATGAGATTCGCTATACGGAAGTTAGACTGTATATTTTTTGGATTTACTCATAACTGCGTTTTTTCTTTTATGCAACGAAAAAATGAGTTGTTATTTTGAATGGGCTATAAAAAGGGGTTTGGACTACAGGCAAAAACAGTCAAGGCAAATTACAAGGAATCGTACGAACCTTACCTCGCATGTGACGTCTGATTTTGTCCTCAAGGTATATTAAGCCTAAGGGGTGGACTTTACTTTGCTGCGTTGCACTTTCTTTTTCCGTTTTGCCCATTGTCCATACCCTCTTTTCCTCCCATTATGTAGAAAATGTGTAGTTACCGTGTAGTTGTCACTAGCGTTTTTTTTACTTGGATCCAAATAGCCCCCCAGTTTCAGTGGAAGCCGCTAGTCTGCACTGTTTTCCCCCGTTCGTTTGCCTAGACGCGTCGCCTTTCGTTTCGTCGCGGAAAAGACACTATTTTGAAGCGGCGTATTTCCGCCAACATACGATATTACCTGCGTTACGTGTGAAACTTTTTCGCAAACGTCATTGGTGCTTAGACGAATTGATCAAAATTTGGCCATAAATAGAAGCAACCACAGCAGCAAGATGAGGCTGTACGCCGCAGCAACAGTTGCGCTCTTTTTGCTTTTGGGGGGCCAAGCAGCTGGTGTGGAGCTGATGGACGAGGAGGAGGCGGGGAATGATCAGGTGAGTGTGTGTGCGTGTTTTGTTATGATTCAGCAGCGCGAAAATTGCGACATTTAACGCTTTTCCGTGAGTGTGAAGGCCAATAACGCTTTAAGTGAATAACGAAACCCCTAGTGACTAAAGCTTTTAAAGGGGGATAAGGGCACAACGGTTAAATATTAAGAAAAATAAGCTATTTACAGTTAACTCACATTGCTTGCTTTGTTACCACACACACACACATGCAATACATACCTCACACACAAAGAAACGTACATGCATGGGCAAGGTGTACCAATAAAAGGTGAAGCGGTCTAGGAACCCGTTCTCTCAATCTGTGACTGTTTTGCTTGAAAGCAGAGAGCAGACAAAGAGTGGAAGTGATAGCGGAAAACAAAATAGATAACTAGACGAAATGGCTCACCTTGTAGAAACTTTACCTTGTACAAATATGCGCCATATTTTCTTGTCCATTGTTTGCTCTCTTTTTTAACCGTTGATTAGCGGACATGGTTCGTCTTTTTCTTTCCCACTTATCCAGCCGGGAAGGGACTGGCGAGCGTCTGCTTTGGATTCGATTTGTTCTACGTCGTGTTTTTTAAAATATGTAGTAGAATCATGTTAGTCAGCTGTTTTCTTATCAGTTTGACCGATTGCACCAATTTGATCCGTCCTCTAACGCTATTTTAGTATATTTTTATTCACGATCGGCGGGGCTCTTAATTATACTTTTGAGACCGATTAGACTTTCTTTGTGTGCGCTGATTTTTTCACGCGACTTGCGAATCTTGGGAGGCAAAATTGCGACTTAATTTTTGCCTCTACAATTTGTTGCCCCAATGGATTGGAAGGGAACTTTTGTTATACTTATCAGATCTCTCATCTGGATAAATCTTGGGAACTTAGGCTATTTCCCTTAGGCTATTATTAACAGAAATAAAATATTTTCAACGGGGGGTTTTTTTCCTCGTTTATTCAGCAACAGGCGTATGCAACCTAAATATCCAAATATTCTGTGACATGGACGGACTGTACAATAAAAATTCTCAAGAGATTACAGCGAAATACCCAATGGTTACATATGTAGCTGTTTTATAGTAAAGTTTGCTAATTGGAAAACATGAGTATATTCCTGAACTCCACTTAGGTTTCATAGTTCCAAAAGGTTATATATTTTATCACCTCTCCAAGCCCATAATCCCCTTACCCCTTTGAAAGAGCATCCACCAATGTGACACAATAACTCAACAAAAATTCCATAATTGATTGTATCAACTAAAACGAGTATATATCCATTCAAACATCCAAATATAATTCTCAGAAATCTTTAGACACAAAACAACGAGTATATTTATGTATATATAGGCAAACACAAACGACTGAACGTGAACAGATTTTCAAACGATGATTAACTCTTCAATGAGTCAGAGAAAGAAACAGATTTCAATTTAAATAAATTAAATTTCTGTTTCTGATCCAATACCCCCAATTCCACCAAGTAATGTGCTAGATTAATGACTGGGGGAATACGGTTGGATGGGCCTACCCACTCCTACTCCTACTCCGGATCCTGCTGGACACCAGGAACAGGCTGAGAGCAGCGTCATCAATATCAATTAAATTTCCGGCTGGCGGCAGCCGGGCAAAAACCGACAACGAAAAAATCTCACAGCATTCATCATACGAAAATATTTGTATATGCAAATAATTAAATATAGCGTAAAAAGGGTTCAACGTGTGGTTGAAGCCACAAAAGTGGTGGCACGGCACTCCACTCCCTTACCGGGGAAGTGAGGAAGTGGGGCGTGGGTCGTGGGGCGTGGGGCTAGGGGTGGATAGAGGAGAGCATTTCCCGGGCATTTGAAATTATTTACCACGCGCGTTCCAAATGTCGAATTTTAATTTGACACATGCCTCAGTGGAAATAAAAATAAGTTTAAATAAATCTAGTTAAAATGCAGTAAGGGATGGTTGCGACCCGAAAGGTATCCTTTACCTTGGATTGTTTGAGTATCATATTTTTGAGCACATAACATTTGCAATTTTAAAGGCTCTTCCATGCACGATATATCGTTGAAGGTATTCGTTTAATATAATATAATCGTATTATAAGAAACTTTTCTCGGTTGGAGTGCATCTGAATCTTTTCTCGATAGACCACCTCCAGACCCAGTGGCAGGGATTGAAGCAGAGCAGCAGCTCAGTATCCTGGAGCCCCTGCATGACCATGTCCAGATGTTGACATTGTTGTTTACATAAACGGCCACCGTAAAGCAGGACAGGCGCATTTTCTTGCCGAAGAACAGCTCCACAACTGTCCGGATTGCCATGGACTGCTCCTCCTCGGTGGGCGCCATAACCAGCTCCTTGTTGCGCACCTCATTGAACAGCTTTCCCACATCGATTTTGCTGTTCAAGTCGACATCGAGACCAGCATTCAGCCACTTCTTAAGTCCGTCTGATGCCGCTCCACCGCCTGCTTGGATTTGTCATCCAAGCGCCCTTTTCCTGGCTATCTTTCTCCAAAAATCCAAAGAAAGGATATACCCACCCTTGCGTGGAGTAGAGGGTACACAAAGAAACGTTTGGAACGCACACTAAAAGCCCCCCAGAGACTAGGAAGAATGCATGGCGCAAAAATTTGCATAAATGAATATTATTGCGGAACTACTACGAACAACGTTGGATATCAAGTCAACACTTCTACATACATAAATTATATGTACATATGTACGGGGCACATACATTTATAGTATATTATTATATGTACATATACATAAATATTCATTCAGCCAAGTCAGCGGCAAAGATTCGCCTAAAACTGGCTGCCAAATTACGAGCCACTATTGTCTCACAAATATCTCAAAGGAATGGCGATAGTCATGGGAGTGGAGTGCGCAGATGGGAGTCTTGGGGCGGTTTATGACTGTCATTTAGGAAATCAAATGGGATGATTCAGAAAACCCACAAAAAACAAAAGGAGAAATCGAAGGAGGAGCCGGAATCCATCGAAGTCTTTGCCAGCAAATTGTCGGCAATTGTCAAATGCGATATCTTCTTTCGGTCTCGTTTTGGATTTATGCAAATCAGTGGCACGATTCTGCTGACTTGCTGACAGTCCGGGGGGGGTCCATCGTCCAGCCGTATCCATCGATAGGTACAGATATCCTCATGGCATTTGTCTGGCGGCCACATCCTTTGTATAATTTTGTGCATGATTTGCTGCCTAATAGAAATGCTAAAGGAAATTACGGCATTGCGTCTCCCACTAAATGGTCCAGTCAACCCAAGACACCCGGATCCAATCAGCCCGCCACCCCACACTGTGCGGGACCCCCCCACAGAGCACAAATTAGCACCCAGGGGAGTAGTGGAGGTAAAGTTTATAATGAGCTTGGCCCCCGACAATGGAGAGGGATAGAGAGGGAGAGAGAACCGACCGCCCCATCTGGCTGTGAGTGCGTGTGTCTCCATACTCTGATTGGAAATTTAAGCAGGCAGATGGTTGGATCTGGCGGTGCAGGGAGGGGGGGCCTCTGGCTAATGCATAAGGCTAAAACTATGAGCCAGGCGTGTGGGAGGACAAGTGGTTTTCTGGGGTGGGTTGTCATGGCATCAGCAGGGGTTACCACAATTGCAGGTATTCCGATAGCATCGAACGAGGATGGAACAAAGCCAATATCATTCCAAAGATGTTGGCTTTGAGCGTGCGAGGAATTTCTAAATTCCTAAATTCAGCTGCAAAAATATGAATACGGAATGCCACAAATCTGCAAATGAATCCGAAAGTGGCTGGCAACAAATTCCCACATGAAAATTGTAAGGGATCCCGAAATGAAGACCTAAAAATGAGAACAAGGCTGGAAGCTCCACTAAAATGTGGCCTAAATCCAAGTCTAAATGAAGTTTAGCCAAAAAACCACCTGACAAACGGGTCTTAAGCTGTTTTTTATGAAGAAATCAGCTTGAGATTCCGTAAACCCTGGCCTACCATAAAACCCAAGAAAAAAAACCCTTCTCAACAAAAAGTCACTCTAAAACGAGAACCCACCTGCACAGCAGGGGTCCAAAGAAAGCGGTCTCCCCCCTCCACCCCACTCCACTCCAGAGACCAAGGTTAATGTCTTTATTAACACAAAAACACACGCCCAAAACGTGCGCACCTCATCAAAGGCCTAAGGAGGCAACCATCTTGACCTTGGAGCCGGGCCCCGAGTGTGCGTTGCACAACAACGTAGCTCAGATTCAGATTTAGATTCGGAGACTCTGATGTGTGCGCCGGGGACAGACACTAAAACTATCTCTGACAGATATGATACCGGTTTTCCACTAATGAATAAATTTATATCGGACCTGTGGCTGTGGCTGTGGCTGGAGATGCGACTGGCTGCTGGATGCTGGGGGCAGGTCATGCGTAAGTGGATTTCAAAATGTTAATTAAGAGCTGCGTAAAAAAAAAAAAAACATTAAGTCACCAAAGAGAGAATATTACGGCGGTCTCTTGATGATGCTGGCTGCTGCATTTATTTGCACTATGAGGACACGTCTGCCCCGCCGCCTGACTGCCTGCCTGCCTGCCAATCGCTTTAATTAAACTTTAATTAAAAACAACAGAAGCCAAATTGCCAATTTCACAGTTTGGGCGTTTGAGCGCAGCGGCAGAGGTGCAACGGCGACGCGACGCCTGCTCGTTGATGTTTGTGTTGATTCAATTAAAGTTTTCCAACACTGCAATCTGCATGGTTTAATGCGCTTATCCACTCACACTTGGGCATTCTTTTCGGTTGTGCGTGAGCGTTTCAGCCGTCGGTGTTTGCACTGCACATCTGAATGGGAGAGTGGATCCATTGTACATATCCCCATATGTCCCATACGTATGTAAGCGGAGATTATGGAGATCAAGGGGAATTACGCTGTCGATTGGCGGGGAATAAGTGTTGAAGAGTGACATAAACAAGGGGATTCATAAAGTGCCAAAAGGATGATGTGGAAAATCGGAAGAGAGCTCCCATCCATGAAGGAAGGCCCAGTTGGTCTTCCTTTGGTTTTAGCATTAATAAAATCTGTTTTGGTTTTCTTTAATGTAAACTCCCATCAAATGCAAACGAGCGTAATTCCCATATTAACCACCAAATGTAATATTTTTTTTTTGCAAATTTTCGTTGGAAACCAAAACATCCGCTGGGCAGAAATTCGCAGAAATATTTGACTAAGAGCTCAATCAACCAAGAGAATATGAAATATTTTGATTAAAAACAAGCCTAAATTAAATGAAAATATTAACCGAAAGAACGTTGGTGGTAAATGCATCAGAAATTGAATGGGAATTTTCATTTGGAATTCCTCAAGTTCCTCAGACAAAAGGCTGGTTTCTTCAGCATTCATTAAGTTGCCCTGAGCTCCAAACTCGAGCTCCAAGCCCTCTTCGGAATAAGCTTCTTATATGATTACCACAGATAGGGCAAATTTTCCATTAAGAAGTTGGAATATAATCAACACGTTGCAGCCGTCTCACCGCAACTCAAGTTACGGACTTAATAACCCCAAGATTCTCAGAAGCAGTATCAATTTCTATTGGAGGGCTGCAGCATGCCGCATGCCCCCACACCGATGCGAGACGTGCATTAAAACGTGGCATGGGGACGGGTATTGCATCAAAATTGGTTACGCTTCTGCATTAAAGTTTCCAGGACAACAAAACGGGTGGATGGGGAGCATAACTGGATGCCAGAGTGGAGCCTTAACCCGGAAAGACCTTAACCCAAACCGAATCGAGACGAGTCGAGTAGAGTCTTGGAGGAACTTAAAATCCCATCATGGGCATGGCATGGGCTCTCTGCCATTGTTGTTTTTGCTTAAAATGCCATAAAGTTTAATTGAAAAATAAGGCAACGGCCCAACGAAATACCGAAGCCACCACCACCCACTCAACATAATCAGCTTCAGAGCATCAAGCAGAAGCAGAAGCATTCAACATCATCCAGTGGCAGCAGCCATCAGCATTCAGCCATCAACGTCGACTGCAGGCAGTGACGCAACAACCGCTGTCAAAAGTTTTTATGCATTTTTCGGCTTTTTGTCACCGCGTCAACGGCAATGAGGATGAACGACCGAAACGTCAACAAGACGTTAAGACAGAGAGACTCTCTCTCTTGGCCAGAAGCTCCCCTCCGCAAGAGCATGCCCGTTTGTCTACTGTCTTCTACTTTTGTGTAAATACCTAACAGATGGAGTGGAAAGGGGTATATCGATGAGGTCTGGCTGTATGCCTTCCATCATGGAAATTACAGTCGATTAGGAAGTACTTTGGAGGCTATAAGGATAGACTGTGGTATCTACAATCTTAGAGATATGTATATATCGAAATAAAACCCACATCTAACCATTCCCAAAACAATCATCATCTTAATCGGATAAGATACTTGATATGTGCCCAATGGAAAACCAATTTCAGACCATCTCCCACGTCTTTAGCGGGTATCCTTCTGTCGAAATATCGATTACATGTATCCCTCTCGTGCTGGCTGTTGCTGTCAATGGCAATGCATCAGCTTTACTTTACCAGAAACACAAGCAGAAACAGCAGCAGAAACAGCAGCAGCAGCAGTTGCAGAAGTGGCATCCACATCGTCAGTGGCATCAGTGGCGGGTAGCCTGTTTTCGAAGTCAGTTGGCAGCCTTTTTGTGATTTCGATTTTTAAATTATTCAGCAAAATCTGTCTGCGGCCGAGGCGGCCTCCTGTCAGTCCATCCATCTACGAGTATTTCTGTCAGTCATCGGCTTTTTGCATCATGTGGCGCCTCATCATTTATCGATAAATTACTGGCTTGGCCAGATAACCGGTTCGATTCGATTCGATTCGATTCAGTTTCTGGCTCAGTTTCCGATTTGCCAGCGACGGTTAATTAGTTTTTGCGGCTTAACCGAAGACCCAGTGAAGCGTTGGCCCACTGATTGAGTTGATTGGTCGCCAGATGATGTCCCCCATGCCGTTGCCACAGCATTTGACCGCAATTGCAGCTGCAATTATGCCGAGTTCATTAGGCTTTGGGCCTCTGGCCCTTATGCCTCTGGGCCACAGAAGCCACAGAGAGGGAGAAGGAGAGGGAGAGGGGGGTGAGCAGGTGCACCAGTGTGTGGGGGACAGACGATTAACAATGTTTCTGCACTGCAGTCATTTATAATTAACCTTAAATCTGCCTACAAATTGGGTGGGCAGGGCAGGGGTCTCCTTTGTGTGTGCTCTTCTGAATATTAAATCAGTGAAGGACTCGAGTGGTGATGGTTGCGGGGTGTTAAAGCAGTTTTAATGGGATTATTTGAGGATGATTTTATGGGATTAAAGTTGTGTTTTTGGCGGTTATCGAATTATGTGATGGTTTTGTGAATTATTGAATGAAAATAGAGTAATTCGGTTGATTTGCTGCACAAGTGTTCCCCTAAGTGAATGGTCTTCGATATGGTAGATCTTATTTTAGAGCTTTCCCGCACAGTACCATCCCATTACACGGCTTGCCTCCCCTTCACCTTCACCCTCACCCTCAACCCCCACACACACACACACATCTTAACCCCCGATCCATGCTTTTTGCCAAAAGATCTCTCTGTTTTCTGTGTGTATCCTTATATGTGTTTTGCTTTCTGTTTTGTCTTCCTTCCCTGCCCCCCAACAAAAACCACCAAACATTCCACCAAACAAAAATATCAAAAATCAAAAACCAGAGAGCCGCCCCAGCCGAAGCCGAATCCGAATCCGAATCTGTCGCGGGGACAGAGACAACCACTGAGGCACAGGGCGTGAGTGAGCCACCGATCAAATTGGTGCATGTCCTGAATCCCGGAGAGCGGGAGTATCTGTCGCCCAATCTGATCGGCGTGCAGAACATAGCCATGACCTTCCTGCCGCTCTCGATGAACTTCATCAACATAATCGATGCCTTCCGGGAGATCACCAGCGGCGTGCGGTACGAGATCCTGCTGAATGCTGTGGACACGAAGGACAAGGAGAACGCGGACACCATCTGCCGCCTGGTCATACTCGAGAAGCCCTGGCTGCGCACCCAGTGGGGGGACAAGCATCGGGAGTTGGTCACCTCGAACTGCACGGATTCGGCGGAGAACTCTGTCTCCTCGGATCCGGCGGAGCGGGCCCGGCTGCTGAACGAGAAATACGTGAGTAACAGCATCTTCAATGGCGGGCAGAGGAACGAGCTGAGTGACTCCGAAATGGCCAATCTGGAGGCTCAAATACTCACGGGCGTGGGGCCAACGAAGCGGAAAGTCAGCCTGAATAAGTCCGCTGCTCCTCCAGCTACCACCACTCCAGCTTCTGCCTCTCCTCTGGCTGGTGATCCTGCTCCTGCTGCTCCTGCCCTGTTGGCCACCATAACAGTCTCCGATTGGAAGCCAACGCCACCTGGGCCCGGGCCTGGGCCCACTAATGAGGCCACAACGGCAATTAGCATTGATGAGGCGGCCACCGAACAGACCCAGACTCCCCCCGAGAGTGTGGCAAATGATGGAGTGGAGGCGCAGGAGCAGGTGGATGCCACAACGCCGCCTCCTACCACCAGCGAGCTCAACGATAATGAGAAACGTTGGCTCGACGATTTCCTATCGGTGGGTGCGTATAATTTTGAAAAGACCATTCAGAAGAAGGAGGACAGCGAGGAGCAGCAGCAGGAGGAGGAGGAGAAGGCGGAGACCATTCAGGAGGAGGCTACCACTATTATACCATCTTCAGCGACATGAATATTATATTATCATCATCATCATCACACACACACAGCACTCTATCATCCCATCCACCCCCTAAGCATCATCAGAACATCCCCTGTGTCTTTCTCTGTTTAGTCCCCATACATACTCGTAAATACTCGGTACTCTTTATATAAAAAACACTCAACCTAAATGCGAACAATAAAAGAAGAAAATGTTATTTAATTGAATTTATTTAAGCTTTGCCTTTTGCACACACCTGCCACACCTGTCCATATCCATGTCCATGGTTCCCTGGTGGTGTGGGAGGGTGTTTGGGGGGTACGGTAGGGTTGAGCATCCCCCCGACCCACACAACACTTATTTCACCTTAATAATCAAATGAGTTTCCGCTTTCAAATTACGGCCGCAATCTGTTTAAGCCCGTGAGGAAGGTGGCCTCTCGCCGAGGGGGAGCGAGAGAGCGGGAGAGAGCATCTTCCACCCACCTGTCTTTATTTCTCGAGGGTAACGAGTGGGAGAGAGAAGCTTAGCCCAGAGTCCCTTGGCAAGTACCGTTATATATATGAGAGGTTAAGTGGGTTTGCTGTGTCTGTATTTGTGTGTGTGTGCAAGTGTCGGCGCCTGTGGTGTCCAAGGGGGAGAGGGGGGAGAGAAGAAACACACACACACTGAACACGTGAGTGCGAAGCAAGTGTTCTCATTATCCTTGTGCTCTACTTTTTACAGCGGTTGACTCTCTGCAGCAGGAGAATGCACAGTGGTATGAAGATCGATGGAGAGTGGAAAGTGGAAAGTGAAGAGTACATTTTTACCTGAAGAATAGACACTCCCAAGAGAGACTGTTGGAAAATGGTGGTAGAGTCTACGTATGATTATAGCTGACTTCTCATGGCTGCTTTCCTAAAAATATAATACAAACCATTCCAAGATATAGTAGTAGATATACTTACCTACATACATATATACAATGCTCTTCTTAGATCCCAATAAAAGAGATCTATCTTGTAGGATCTTGAGATATTATAATGCACATACCACAGAAATAGTATACGATATGAAAAGTTCAGGAAGTTATGGTATTACGGCTGAAATAGCCCTAACAATGTTCTCCCTAGCTATGGGGATTCTTCTAAAAGAGGTCTACTACTCCTAAGGGATCTCCCAAAAGATCAATAAGTGCAATATTACTACCATGAAGAAAGAGATATGAAAAGGTAAAGATATTATTTGATTTAACGCTTAAAAAAGTAAACAAGAGCACCTACGAGTAGCCTCCCCTTGAAGAAGATTTATTACTGTTTAGAGGGATTATAAATACTATAATGGAGTGGTAAATCACCTATAGAAAAGTACAAATGTGCGTGCCACCAAATATCCCAATTAATACTGTATTTTACATAAAAAAAGACCTCCTGAAGGGAAGTTTAATGATTAATGTAAAAAAATATACCAAAATAGAAGATTAAAGAATAAATATCATGCACCTAAAGATCTAGTTTGAAATGATCTAAAATATAGTACATTATTTTTGTAAAATGGAATATTCTTTGAAAAATACACAATATTCGTAATCTATGGGGGAAAAGATGTCCTCTCCGAAATAGAGCTCTGACAGATATTGCTATATGTACAGATATCCCATATTCCTGATTAAATAAATGAATTCTTCTACCACCGAAATCTGTTGTGGATCTTCAACACAATTAAGTGCTCAACCATTCGAGAGGGAGATCTAAATGCGATTCTAAAATACCATAAAATAGAATAAATGAATGGAAAACGAGAACGAGAGCGAAAACAATTCCCACTGATTTCGCTGATTTGCGGCAACTGTCAGAAACTGTAGAATCGGTGCCACACTTGACTGTCGATATATCGTGTGTGTGTGTGTGTGTGTGTGTGTACAACGTACGTACGGAGTACTTTCAACCGAATGGATTTTACGGGCCATTGCACACACTCCCATCTGGCTCCACTGTTCCTCCGCCCCCGGGGCTCGTTGAAACATCATTTACGTTATAATTCTTATTGAAATACACATTTGAATTAACAGCTCAGCGGTGGGGTTGCGACTGGGGAATGGGGACAGTTGTGTTGTGGCAGGATCTATGGGATGGCTCGGATGGGTGGCTGGGGCGTGGAGGTAGGAGGATGGAACGGAAGGCTTAATGAATTCATGTTCGGACAGGCTGTACAGCCCCGTACAGGCCGTGTACTGGCAATCCCGTCGAAACATTGCTCCGCCGTTGCTCTTTCGCTGGTTTTTTTTCCCCCTCCTCCTGTATTTTTAATTATACACACGTCGGAGCCATTACATTTCATTCGGGCATTGTTGTCGCTGGCCCCATCAGCCGCCTCGGTGCTTGGGAGGTGACCTGTCCTGGTCGAACGACTCCTCTCCTCCTGCCCTGTCAGTTACCTGCCAACGGCAGCAGAGCAGCAGTAGTATCATCAGACATTTTGGGCTCCTACTCGGCACAACGAGAATCGGCAGCAGAACCGAAACGAAACCCGAAATCCCGCACTCCGAGCCCATCATCAGGAGCATCAGGAGCACCAGGAGGAGGAGGAGGAGCAGGAGCAGAACAGCATCGCCATCATCGATGCCAAGAGGCAAACGAATTTCCAGCCAAAATGTTTGGTTTAATTGGTTTTGTGTTCGGCATTGAATGGTTTATGTGCCCTGCCGCATGTGTCTTCCACTGTGTTATTGTTGGGATCTGATCTGCCTTTAGGGTGGTGGAGCTGGTAGTGGTGGTGGCACACACTCGTCCGTCGTAGGGTTTTCTTTGGTACAAGTTTTCCGGCATCCGTGTGTCCCGTGTGTGTCTTTCTGTCAATTTTGGTAATGTAAATTCCGACTTGTCTTTGTTTCATTTGCATTTATATGTAATTTATGTGCCAGGTTCCACACTCGCATTCCATCTTCCCTCTCCATCAAGGACTGTCGGTCACAGGACTGATGTGGCGACAGCTGTGTGTCCCTCTGTCTGTCATCCTGTTCGCAATGGATAAGTGTATCTATTTCGGTTAATTAGCAAGAGGATTAACGAGCTCTAAGATACAATATAAGACATACACGAGTACAGTAGAGGGCAAAGTGGGAGGGAAGGCAATGTAGTTTGACTTGCGCCCTCTGTGCTCTTTGGCGGCTTATGCTTGTATCTGTTGGATCCTCTTATATGTTATTCCAGCTCATTTAGAATGATGGACCGCATATACAGCATATATGTGCATTCCCCATAGGACTAATAATGTTATTTATACTGGTTTCTTATGCTTTAAGCCTTAAGTAATGAGCCTTGGCCATTGAGATACTCATGGCTTGAGACGAAAAGCTAAATTACACTACAAATCGTATCCAGATGGCACTATTTGTGCCAAAACGATGTCCAACAATCCAAACTAAAGCATAGTTCTATCGCTTTCACTGCATGCCTTTTCCGTAAGGCTATCTCTGTCTTTCAGATAAGAGAGGTAGTCAAGTGGGCAATTATGGGCAATCTTGAATAAATCTCCCAGATTTGCTTGTTTAGATCGATGTAAATTAGTATTATTATTGATAGGATTTGCTTGATACTCGTCAATGGGGGGCTTTTGAGGTATTTTTCTTCCCTATCCTACAAGATCTCAAGCCCACAGCATACTTTTTACTTTCTATAACGCAAATCCTCTGGAAACACTATTCGTACAAACATAAACAAACATCAAAGTCATCGGGAAATCAGTCACTATAGTTTTATAGAAGGATCTATTCAAAATTCATTCACTTCGAAACGTTAGACACGGGCAGGAGAAATCTAGAAAACTGGGAAATACTTTACACCAAAATATTTGAACGGTGCGTATGGTGATTCCTCCAGCAAAATATAACCTCTAGATATAGATATTTATTCATTGAAAATAGAAGAATAAAGCTCAAGATGAAGCCTTCCGCTTTGAGTGCGTGCATTCGACAGATTTGGATCATGGCCGGATGGTTGCGTCACGAGGCAGCGGCCGCCGCTGGCATGATAGTGTTGCGGCGGGAAAAGGAACAATCGACGGAGGACAATCAAGGCGAGATGCCCGAGGCTGAGGCGGTGGGCCAAGTGGGCGTCGATACCGAGGGAAAGCCGCACAAGGTGCGCATTCTTGACGACTACGTAGTGCCCTTTGAGTGCGGTCTCTGATTTGACTGTACTTTATTTTTGGGTGTGGTGTGCAACCGTTATTCATTTCACCTTTTGATAGTGTGTACACACCGCGCACAAGTTATCCGATTCGATAGTCTCTCGATACCGATAACCAGTATCAGAACCGAGCCAATGTCCCTCCACACCCAGAGCTGCGATCACAATTAATGTTATAATTTGATGAAAATGTTAAAAAAAAATTTGATGTTATTAAAAGAAAGTTTTTAAGTGGCAACATTGTGGCATTTTGGGGTTCCCATTCGAATTCGATTTCAGTCAAGAATATCCTGGAGTATGTTCTCATTAATCATGTTCATTGGGCAACAATCTACGATTTCCAGGGATTGGGGGGCCACACACTTCATTGCAAGTGTTAGAGCTATCCAATACTTAGCCATTTCCCTGCTTCGCCTCCTTCTTTCAGTTCGTGCGCAGCAAGCGAGGCCTGAATGATGTACCCCTGGGTGGCAGCAAGCCCTTCGATGCGCAGCAAGCAGAGGAGCAGCTCCAGCGCACCCTGGACAAGCTAACAGCCGGCGAGGGACCGCATTACAAGTGAGAATCATTGACAAACCCAATCCAAAGGGGGATTTAATCAACTGTCAATCTGTTTCAGAATCGTGAAAGTCTACACGGCCTCGCGTCAGTTGGTGTCGGGCACTTTGACTCGCATCGACGCCGACCTCATTGACGGCAACACGGATGAGCAACACCGCTGCATCGTCGAGATCTGGGCAAAGCCGTGGCTGGAGCAGGGACACGACATCACCTTCAAGTGCCGCAACCAGAAGGTGGTGCAGGCCCGTCACAGCCGCTCCGTGGAGTGGGCCGAGAAGAAGACGCACAAGAAGCACAGCCACAGCCACCATGCGCTGGACAAGGTGGACCATCTGTTCCACAAGTTTCAGATCCGGTTCGGGCGTCGCTACGACAACACGGCAGAGCGCCAGATGAGGCTGCGCATCTTCCGGCAGAACCTGAAGACCATCGAGGAGCTGAACACCAACGAGATGGGCAGCGCCAAGTACGGCATCACGGAGTTCGCGGACATGACCAGCACGGAGTACAAGGAGCGCACCGGTCTCTGGCAGCGCGACGAGCAGAAGCCCACTGGCGGGGCGCCAGCCGTAGTGCCGGCCTATGAGGGGGAGTTTCCCAAGGAGTTCGACTGGAGGCAGAAGAACGCCGTCACCCCGGTGAAGAATCAGGGCTCCTGCGGCTCCTGCTGGGCCTTCAGTGTGACCGGCAACATCGAGGGCCTGTATGCCGTGAAGACGGGCGAGCTAAAGGAGTTCTCCGAGCAGGAGCTCCTCGACTGTGATACCACAGACAGTGCCTGCAATGGCGGACTCATGGACAATGCCTACAAGTAAGTGATGGCTGAGCGAAGACATCTGCGCATTGATGCTCACGCTTCCTTTATTTTCTGTGCCCTAGAGCGATTAAGGACATTGGCGGCTTGGAGTACGAGGCCGAGTATCCCTATGAGGCCAAGAAGCAGCAGTGCCACTTCAACAGGACGCTCTCCCATGTCCAGGTCTCCGGATTTGTGGATCTGCCCAAGGGCAACGAAACGGCCATGCAGGAATGGCTCCTCACCCACGGACCCATCTCGATTGGTAAGTGATTGATGGAGCCTTTTTGTCATCAAGCAAACAGTATTCTCATCGCACGTATCCTCTGGTTCCAGGCCTCAATGCCAATGCCATGCAGTTCTATCGCGGCGGCGTCTCCCATCCCTGGAAGGCCTTGTGCTCCAAGAAGAACCTCGACCATGGCGTGCTCATTGTGGGCTACGGCGTCTCCGACTATCCCAACTTCCACAAGACCCTGCCCTATTGGATCGTGAAGAACTCGTGGGGACCGCGCTGGGGCGAGCAGGGCTACTACCGCGTCTATCGCGGCGACAACACCTGCGGCGTCAGCGAAATGGCCACCTCTGCCGTGTTGGCCTAATCCCCGACGGCGGCCACGACCACCCCGTCAATCCGTCACCCCGTCATGTATGACTATATGTATATCTAGGTTAATATTCGAGCCATTCAGCAAGACAGAAGATATCTATCTTGGAGCTTCTACTTTGTGTACTTTCCGTTTCAATGTTCAGCGACAGACGCGACGAGGATATCGTTTAGTTTCATGCGAGCTTCATGCGAGTCAATGTAAACAGTATAATCATTTCGAACATCTGTAATCTCACGACAAATTCAGCATCCCTCTCCCACATAAAGCAGCTTATAAACTGAAATAAATTTAAACTACGAATTGTACGAGGAATCAGAGACTCATTCTCATTCTGAGATGGATAAAAGGTGTGGCGGGCATGGGCCCCTAATCGATGCCAGCCTTGGTGCATGCAACAGTTGGCTGTGGGACAGTGGTGCCAGAAGGGAAGGGAAAGGGATGAAAATGGAAAGGTCAGGAAAACAGAAACTAGAACTCTGTTTAATATTAAATGTAGAGATTTCGGTTCCACAATGGGAACTCTGGTCTTCCCTATGGCTATGGTGTCTCCTCATCAAACAGGCTGCGTCCTCATCGAAGTTATTGACTGCATTCTAGAGACAGAGAACAGATCTCTCCTGATCATCTCCTGAATTTTAAACTGGTAGAGATATATGTACATCAGGAAACATCCGAACACATCCTATGCGAATCCCTTGCACTCTATAAAAGGAGTGCTCTACATTTGCGGGGAAGCCAAAGTGGCCCTCACAGGGTTTGGAAAATATAACCCTAGTCCTGATCGAAAGCCTAAACACACAGGGATCTTTCACATAATCCTTGTAATAAGGTCTTGAAATAATCAGGGGATCAGCCCTGATGACATCGGACATGATACTGAGATGAGAGAAGACTGATGAGAGGAAGCCTGTCTGGAATCTTGAAACAACTTTATTTTTGTGCCTGCCGCAGCTTCGTAAGATCTCTCTCTTGAGTTTCTGGCTCGATTGGATGGGTAAAGCAGAAATGCTAGGGTGCCTGAGGAGCATTTGAATACCTACTAAATTTCGCATACCTTTTATGCAAACTGCCAGCCCACTGTGCAGCCGTGCAATATGCTAATTAGATTTAGACCACCAGGGCCAGCCCATTGGCGCAATGGCCCAATGGAAGCCACACAAGACTCTGGTTTCTGGTGCGGAACAAGCAAAGCTCAGTAGCAGCTTGGAGCGCATCACGAACAGTGGACGGTGGACAGTGGTAGACGCAATGGCCATGGACGACTACGACGATGACAGTAAGTGAACGAAGGACGCGACGTCCAGTAGGCAGCAGAGTGAGCCAATCCCATCCGCCCTTTTAGTGAGCAGCGTGGGCGTGACCACGGCACGCATCGAGAACCAGCATCAACAGCACCACCAGGGCCAGCACGGACACGGACACGGATATGGCCAGGGTCAGAGTCAGTACAGTGCGGGCGCCGTCAAGGTGGGCGGCTGGCGGTACGAGGATGCCAGTCGCTACATCGGGGAGTGGAATCAGCTGGGCCAGAAGCACGGCATTGGCCATCTGCAGTTTGCCGACGGCACACGCTACGATGGTCAGTTCCAGGAGGGCCTCAGCCAGGGCGTGGGCTGCCTCTGGTTTCCCGATGGCGCCAAGTGAGTCTCGCAATGAAATCAATAGTCCAATCCCAACGATACCACGATCTCTGTGGCTTGCAGATATGAGGGCGAGTTCCATCAGGGATGGTTCCATGGCAATGGGATCTTCTGGCGCGCCGATGGCATGAAGTACGAGGGTGAGTTCCGTGGCGGCAAGATCTGGGGACTGGGACTGCTCACATTTCAGGACTTTACGCACGGATTTCCGCGTAACGAGGGCTTCTTCCAGGACTGCCGCTTCATGCGACGACGACGCTGTCCCGAGGTGGTGCAGCGGGCCCAGAAGTGCGCTCTCCTGGCCCGCTCCCAGTGCGAGCATCCATATTGAACTTGAGAGATGAGAGATGGCAAATAAACTCCCGTAGATCCTATGGATTGTGCGTTCTCTTGTTTCTTATTTCGCTCAAAATGTTAACAATAATTTGTTTGTTCCTTGGCTAATCTCCGTTGGCGGCTCCCACCAGGTACCAGGCATTCCTTGCCTGAACCGCCGTGTTCCTCACCAGACGCTTCGGATCGTCGAGGGCTGCGGCCAGGGCCAGCGTAACATCCACCTTGTGGGGCAGCAGGGCGAACGTTGGATACTTCGTTATGTCGTAGAGCAGCTGAAGGGCCGCAATCCGCACTTGCTGTAGGGTAAACAAAAACACAAAGATTGAGTCCAACCTCAATCCCCTCTGGAGTCTACAGAGAGCAGCACTCACCATTGTATGCTGGGCCTTGTACTTGGATAGCTCCAGGCAACTGGGTATGAGATGGCCCAAATGCGCCTGGAAATACGCATCCTGCTGCTGCACAAAGCTCTCGCAGATCCCCAGCGCAATGCACAAGGACTGCGCCTCATTGTGCTCCTCCAGGCTCCGGAAGAGCAGCGGTCCCAGCTGCTCGATATTCAGCTTGATCACCGCCTGGGGCGTGGCCTTCAGCACATAGACAAAGGCCTTCAGATGGTGCACACAATAGTCGGCCAGCTTGCTGCCCATTTTGCCCATGATGGTGTGGAAGAACTTTTGCTTGTACAGGAACTTGACGACCGGCAAATCCAGTTCGGGATACTCGGCTGCTATGATGTCAAAGCCCAAGGCAGCGGCAGTGCTCAGAGTGGGATGCTTGAGGAGATCCGACAGCTAACAAGAGATCGAAGATGGGAAGAGGTTTAGTTCCAGTTTGTTGGCTGATTAAATCTTCCGTTTGCACTTACATCTCCCACAATGTCGGCGGCCTCATCGAAACCGGCCACCACCAGACCCTTGGCCACCCAGGCAAGGATCTCCACAGCCCGCACATCGCCCGTCTTGATGGCCTTCTTCAGTTGCTCGGTGATCTGCTTCACCTTGCTCCGGTTCCCCTTGGTGTTCTCCATTTTGTTCACCAAACTGCAGAGCAAATGGTGGGCAATCACGCGCAGCTGCTCGTTGTCGGTGGTCAGGGAGAGCTGGGTGAGATCGCTCAGCAGCCGCTCGAAGTGATCGTCCAGGCTTATGTCCTTGTGGAGGTAGCCCAGCAGACCCTTGGCGATGTACAGGTCCGCCGACTTCTGCAGCTGGAGCCCCGGCAGATACTCGCTGATGATGGCGCTCTGCTCGGAGAGCGGCAGCTGCTGGATGATGCGGCTCAGGGGTCCGGCAATCTGTTCCAGCGATTGCAGCGTAATATCCTTCGTCTGCTGGGCCAGCTCGATGAGCTGGTGCAGCAAATTTGACTGCTGCTGCAGGTCCACAATGAAGCGCTGATCCTCCTGCGTGAGGAGCGTGTTGAGCGCCTCCAGAGCCAGCAGCCGCACGGGCTCTGGGTTGTCGGGCTTGAACATCTGCGTCATGACGAGGTCCAAAATGCGTTGTGTAAATGCCATTTGGGGGATCAGCGGCAGCAGGTTGGTGTAGATCTTCCGCTTGATGAAGTTCGAGAAGATCTCAAAGTTCCGAATGCCAATGTCGATGAAGTTCGCCTGCAGCTCCACCGGCTGCAGGGCGCCCAGGCCGACCGTGAGCACGGTGAAGTCCAGGTCGATGGTGGGATGGCTGATCAGCTGCACCAGCGCCTTGTATACCAGGGCCCGCTGTGCCTCACTCAGCACCGGGGCGCATTCGTTAAGTACAGACAGGGCTGCCTTCTGCAGCTCGAGGTCCTCCTTCTTGGCATCGAAGTCCTCTCGCTCGCACAGTCGAAGCGCTGCTATAACATCGTCCAGCAGGGGCACGCTTATCGTGCTGTCCAGTTTCTGGAGGGACTCGCGCAGGGCGGCTAACTTGTACACCTGGGCGACAATCTGGTATATCTTGACGCGCTGGTCCGGAGGCGACGTACTGAGATCCGTGGCCTGCAGCTTGAGGAGGAAGCTGTTCAGGATCTTGTCGGCGGCAAACGGGGCGTCTCCGGCCACGCACACCAGCGCAATGGCAGTGGCCGGATGGAAGAGCCGCTGATTCACGTCGCTCAACTGGGGTAACACCACGCCCAGCACAGAGGTCTGATAGCTGTGGCTAATGCTGGGCACATGGGCAGCTCGCTCCAGCAAGGCACCCAAGGCCTTGAGCGAGGCTCTTAGGATGTCCTCGTTGTCGGCGCCAGGAAAGGTTTCTGTCTTGAGCGCCTGCCAGATCTGATCAAAGTGCGGCTCCAGCACAGATGGGGGAAACTTTACGGCAGCTTGATGCTGGAATACAAATGGTAGCGCAGGTTAGTCGCTGTGAAGGTTGAATGAAGGTCGTTTGCTTGCCAGCAGCTCAATGGAGTCCAGTTTGGCCACCAGCAGCTCGCTCTCCAGCTTCTCCACGGCCAGGACGACCGTCCACTCGGCAAACTCATTGTTGGCCACCAGACAGTTGGTCAGTTTGGCGGCCAACTGGTCGCGTGTGATGGCCGTGGGGTCCTGCTTGCTGGGATTGAAGTCGATAGGGAAGTAGCAGGCGAAGATCTCGAACATTTCCTCGGCCAAATGCAGCAGCGGATAGTTGGCCATGAACTCGGGCATGAAACTGAAGATGATCTCCAGATTGCGGGGATCGCGCTCCCCATCGATGGAGTTGATCAGGCCGTACACAAAGTCACCAGCCATCGTCGTGAGCTCTGTCCAAAAAGACGGCGTATAAAAAGAGGGAAAATCGATCGGAGTCTCGTTCACATACCCTCCTTGAAGTTGAGCGTCAGGTACTTGAAGATGTTGAACAACTTGGTGCGGTCTCCACGCGTCTGCGACTGGCAGGTTGTGTGCTGGAAGAAGGCCTGTAGGATCAGTGGAACATTACCGGCTGGCAGAGCCTTCATGTGAACCATTGCATCAATACCATCGATGATCGCCGGCATCACGTTGTGGTGATCCCGCAGTCGGTCCGTGTAGAAGGTGGTGAGGAACTCCAGCTGCTCCGCATTGAGCAAGTCGGCTGGCAGGGCACACAGGACCGCGGACAACAAATTGGTGCCGGCCACGCGCTGCTCCATGTCTGGCGAGGACAGGGCAAAGCCCAACTCCTCCGCCAGCAGCGATATGTCATATCCGCCAGCGGCCAAATCTGGAAAAACAAAGAAACTCTCCGATGAGAACAGAAGCAGTCGGAGATATCAATGCCAACTTGCCCTTGGCGATTTGTGTGGCCTCCTTCTGAAGTTTCGCATCGCTTTTCAGAGCCTTCTCGAGGGTGGCGCGCGTGGGCGTTGTCATATTGGCGCCGTCGCTTGCGTGATGTGCTAAATTTAATATAAACTTCTAAGCACGTTAAGCCGAATTATTAAGAACCGATAACCGATGACGACCTTATCTATGGTCGCAGGGCTGCCAGGGCGCAAGCAGCTGCATATTTGAAATGTTATATTTAAAATTTAAGATAACTGTTAATTTACACAACCAATTGTGGATTGGAGCAGCTTTTTTTCTTTTGATGGTATTTTACTAGCCTGACTTAAAGGCATTCATGAAATTCGACTTTGCTAACTGACAAGCTGGAAAAGCAGAGACAGCCTTATGGAAAAAGCATGCAGTAAGAGCGAGATAGAAATATGAGACACTTTTCAGATCTCATTTTGCTGGCTGACTGGATTTTTGTGTTGGAAAACATCATTATGTGACAAATAGTGCCTTCGTTACTCGCCTGATAGCTGGTTATATCAAATCGAATGTCCAAATCAACGAATGTGGCTTCCGATCATGGACAGAGAACAGAAATACAGTCCACGAAAAGGTGAATATCGAAGGATTTTAGTAAGTAAAGAGGAGAGATAGGATGGATCTACACAATATATATAGAGTATTATTTTCCTCGGCTTAGTTCAAGTTTTTCGATGTTTAAATAGAGGGTTAAATTCGCTCTTTTCATCGGTATGTAATGGTATATAATGGTATATTTCTGAGGGTCGGACGGTATATTTATCGATAAATCCGCGGTCACTCTGGCGGCCACACTGGTCATAACAAACACAGCAGTTTTTTTTAGATAGCGCATCGCCTTTAATTATTAACTAAATAAGTTTCGTTTTAACTTTAAGCTTTCAACGCCGTGTAATAAATCCAATTTACTAATGTCCATAACCGTAAGTTCATCGAGTGGACGCCAAAATGTCGGTGTTGAAGCTAGCGGCTGCTGGGAGATGTCAACGTCAGACGCCCGCCCCCACGTAGCTGAGAGCATAAATTGAAAATTGTATTCAAAAGTGAAAAATGCAATCTTCAAAGCCCTGCAATTGACTTGAAATCTATTTAAATCGCATTCATTTGCATATACGTGCTGTGTTTGCAATGTGTGAGTGCGCGCCGCTGAAACTTGAGCTCTGGTTATATTTTTTTCTTCTTTTTCGCTGCCTTGCATATGTGTGCGAGCGTTGAATTTTTTTTCTTTTTTTTGCATACGAAACGACGTTTTGAACGTCGTTGAGTTGAAAGAATCATTCAAAAGCGAGCCAACAAGGTCGAGCGCCTTATTCGGGCGCTGCTGCTACGGCCATGGCTGCTTCCAATGCGGGTTTATAATATTTTTATTACATTTTTCCAATCGGCGTTTCGGCCGGGGGCCCACGTCCCGCCTTGGAAGTAGTAGAAGTGGATGTGGAAGTGGAAGAATGGGAATGTGAATTGGGAGCGCGTTTAAATATACGCTCGTATCGTTGACAATTTGCCGATTTTGTGTGTTTGTGTGCTTTATAATTAGCAACGCACTTCGGTCGTTGGCACTGCCACTCGTACCGAGTATCTTCCTTTTATTTAGTTCTTATTCGATTGTATTTTCTGGTTGTGCGGCGGCTCACTTTCCATTTTTACCTGCAAGGCAAAGGCAGCAGTGGCGGGAGGGGGCTCTCTCCATGTTTGATTGTGTGATTGTGTCTGGCATTAGTGTGTGTGTGTGTGTGTGTGTGCGAGTGTGAGTGTGAGTGACGCAGTGCCACCAAAGTCGCTTCGCTTCCGTTCTATTGTTCGCACTTACTGACACCAGCCCCGCCCCCACTCCCCTCCCGACACTCCGTAGCAACGACAGCAAGAGCAACAGCATTAGAAGCAGAGAAACTCACTCTACGCACTCGAATGCTTTAATTGGAACTAATCTTTGTTTCGTTTTTGGTTACAACGACAACAACCTGTTCTGTTCCGTTCTGTTCCGTTCCGTTCGAATCCGAGCAGCTACTGCGAGGTGGCAAGCAAAAGACAAGCAACTGTGTAGGAATGACCGTAATGGCCAAAACTACGTTTGAAGAAATATGCGAGAATGCCAAATTAGCCAGGGACATGGCGCTGACGGGTAACTATGACTCGGCCTGCATCTACTACGAGGGATTGCAGGGACTGCTGGCACGCCAGCTCAAAGCCACAGCGGATCCCATGCGGAAGGGCAAGTGGAGCATGGTAAAATGCGACGATAAACCCTCTCTGTCACACGATCCACTCACCGCTCTCCCTTGTTTACAGATCAATCAGCAGATCAGCCAGGAGCATGCCAAAGTAAAGGCCATACAGCGTACACTGCAGGACATATCGCTGGATTTGCAGACCACTAAATTTGCCCACAAGCTGCGCCACCAGCTGAGCGACGAGAGCAATGTGAACAAAGATCCCGCCGCCTGGTTCAAGCCCGATCCGGATATTTGGACGCCACCGCCCAAGGATCCAGATGTCTGGGGTCCGCCCAAGCCCCCACCCTCGGCCTCGGCCAGCACCACGCAGGCTGTGGGCCGGCGAGCCGCTGCCAACAGCCGACGCACCACCTCCACCGCTCCGCAGAGTAACCGTCCCAGCACAATCCCACAGATCACGAGCCGAAACGGTCCGAGCACCGCGCGCAATGTTCGCAACTCGTCCGCCGCCGCCGCCTCCACATCAAACAGCGCACGTGCCACCAATGGCCGGGCGGGGGGACGAAAACTTTCCACCTCAAACAACGATCGCAATGCCAACAACAACGACAGCAAGGATGAGGACTCCGTCGCAGGCAGCAATGGCGGTGGAGCGGGCGACGGCGAGGGCGGCGACACGCAGGCCGGCGAAGAGGAGCGCAAGTTCCAGCCAAACAATCACATCGAAGCCGAGCTGGTCGACATTCTGGGTTAGTTTTTATCTCTATCATTACCCCCCCATTCCTATCCATTGTCTGTTTCAGAGCGTGATATACTGCAAAGGGATCCCAAGGTGCGGTGGAGCGACATTGCCGATCTGCAAGATGCCAAGCGGCTGCTCGAAGAGGCTGTGGTATTGCCCATGCTGATGCCGGACTATTTCAAGGTGCGTCATCGCTTGTCTTGTTTACCCTGAACTCTGAATCACTTCGTTATTATCTACGGTCGGTGTTGGGTCAATAAACGCTATCCGTGCTCCACAATGTTTGTAGAGCGGTTTAGTAATTTCCATGATCACATAAATCATCAGAGCTGTAATGAAATGGCAGTGAAGCACTCTGCAGGGAATAGGTACGCCTCTTGTGGGGGAAGCAAAGAATCAAGCACTTTCCTTCAGCTCTGATCATTTGGAAGAGGATTCCCTCACTTTATATGGCACTTGCTGAGAAAGTTGTATTTATTATTGTATTGTATTTCCTCGTGGCACAATCTTATCTACAAATTGTGTGTGTGTGATAAAGTGATTCGTCGTCTGATATCTATGTACAATACACACATGTATCTACATATATATCAGTGGCACAAACAAGTGGTTTAATTGATGTATTTTCATGTCGTTGACAGGCCGTCATTTGCCGACTGATTGAGGGTTAGGCTTCTAGTTTTAGTATTCCTTAAGTAGAGTAGATTTATTCACGTAATTTCTCTCTTGCAGGGCATTCGGAGGCCATGGAAGGGTGTGCTGATGGTCGGACCACCGGGCACGGGCAAGACGATGCTGGCCAAGGCAGTGGCCACCGAATGCGGCACAACCTTTTTCAATGTCAGCTCTGCGACGCTCACCTCCAAGTATCGCGGCGAGTCGGAGAAGATGGTGCGCCTACTGTTCGAAATGGCGCGCTTCTATGCGCCCAGCACGATCTTCATCGATGAGATTGACTCGCTCTGCTCGCGCAGGGGGTCGGAGACGGAGCACGAGGCCTCGCGACGCGTCAAATCAGAGCTGCTGGTGCAGATGGACGGCGTGGGCGGCGGCGAGGAGCAGGCCAAAGTTGTTATGGTGCTGGCAGCCACCAATTTTCCCTGGGACATTGATGAGGCGCTGCGTCGGCGGCTGGAGAAGCGCATTTACATACCACTGCCGTCGGATGAGGGGCGCGAGGCGCTGCTCAAGATCAATCTGCGCGAGGTGAAAGTGGACGATACGGTGGATCTCACCTACGTGGCCAACGAGCTGAAGGGCTACTCCGGAGCGGACATTACCAATGTTTGCAGGTGGGTAGACGTTTACTGCAGGAAGGCTGCTCTGCTGCGTCAAGTGGGATTCTAACCTCTCGTTTGTCTGTCTTGTTTGTTCTCGCAGGGAGGCCAGCATGATGTCCATGCGGCGGAAGATTGCTGGCCTGACGCCCGAGCAGATCAGGCAGCTGGCCACCGAGGAGGTGGACCTGCCCGTGTCCAACAAGGACTTCAACGAGGCCATGAGTCGCTGCAACAAGAGCGTGTCCAGGGCGGATCTGGACAAGTACGAGAAGTGGATGAAGGAGTTCGGCTCGTCATGATGGCGTTACCGTCGCCCCCCCACAATTTCTGGCAATTGTAGGAATATATTTTTGAATACCCTAAAAATAGGCGCTTAAGTTATTAAGCTTTTAAAGTGAGATCCGATCCGATCCCTACCGATCCAATCCGATCCGCCCGGGGGAATAGTTGAACATATTTTATATATAACATTTTGCATATACACCACATACGGTATGAACTATATATATTTACATATTTATATACATACGATGGAAACGGAAGCCGTTGGAATTACAAAACAAAAGACTAACCGTTCTCTAAGAGGAAACCCAATGAAATGCAAATCTGAAATGGAAACGAATTGAAATATAAAGATAGGCAATATGTTTATACAATATACACACGCTCGATAGATAGATAGATGGATGGAAATAGAGATAGAGATACAACCCACGCAACAATCACACACCACACCATGCACCACACAATCCTTCCTATACTAATAGTACTAAAATAGTTAACCCAATCTGCACTCTATACTCCATATATATACACGATAAGGAATCGCTTTAAACGCCGCCTAGCCTTGGGCCCCATCAATCCCCCCCATCCCTCCATTATAAAAACCACACTCCATGAATCGTTTTTACCTAAAAAGTTGTATTTTTAACAAGCAAAGCAAAGCAAACGTTCACTGTCTAACATTTAATATTAACTGTCGCTTAATTTATACATTAAATTACGTACTATACATATATCATAGTCTAGTGCAGGCAGATGATGGCCGATGGCCGATGGCTGATAGAGCAACTCAAGAAATGTTAACTTAAACCACATGCAAGAAACGTTCCCATTGTCCATTCGTCGGCGGATGAACCTGAAGCAATATGTACTTAAAGTGAAGATTCTGAAATTTTAAACAATAAACACAAGTTTTTAACTCGATGAGATGTCGTTTATTAAATATTTCATACTTTATACTGTCTGTTCTAAAAGCTCCCCAACTACTGGATGCAATGCGTCATGCGTCGCCCCCGCCTACCTCTCTTCTACTACTACTACTACTATGGCAGTACATGGTACAACCCGTACACCCCATCTAGTACGGCCTCGAGGGCGGCGGCATGGGCATTAGGGGACCCATCATGGGATACGGCGCCGAGCCGCCAGCCGAGGGATAAGGGGGATAGGGCATCGATGATCCACCCGGCGAGGGATAAAAGCCGCTGCCTGGCACATTTCCGTACGCTGGCGGATGTGCGGGACCTGTGCTGCGACGTTGCTTGCGTAGCAGATCCTGCATTTTCTCGGCTTTCAGGCGGCGCAAGTGCATGGTGCGGCGGCTGGCAAGAAACTCCTCCAGAAAGGACTCGACGTTCAGCTCGTTGTCGTTGAACTTTTTGACCATCTCCTCGGTCTGCTCCTCGCTCTCGGAGGCGGCTGTCTGCAGAAGGGCCAGGGCCGTCTCCTGGCCCACTCCGCCTGTCTTTTTGTTGAGCTCTGTGAGCTTCTCCTGCACGGAACTGCAGCAGTTGCGTCCCTCCTCGGACAACTCCGACAGCTTGCCGCGCAGCTCGATGATCTGTGGCTCCTTCTCGATGTTCTGCTCCGCTCGGTTGCGATTGTCCTCGAAAATGGTCTTCTTTTGTTCCTTCAGCGCCAGCAGCACCTCGTCCACCTTCTCGTCCAGCTTTTCGTCATTGTTGAGCAGCTCCTTGAGCTGGTCCGAGCTGAGCGGCGCGATCGAGGTCTGCAGTTGGTTCAGATATTCCTGGTACATGACTACAATTTACGTGGAAAAATTAAACTAAAAAAATTTATTTGCGACTCTATTTTTAATGACTATTATTGGTATGACCATCGGTCACAGGGCACCAGCGACACTCAGAAATATATCAAAAATATACTGACGAATTGAAGTTCTATTTTACATATTCCTCGTTTTTGATCTTCCGTCGGATATTCCCAGCTATATAGAATATTTAGCCATGCCCACATAATTTTAACAGATTAGTGAATTAATTTTCTAATTGACTGGTTTATTTTAAACACTTGCTTTTATTGCATTTTGCTTAAAAAGAGGTTTTAGCGAAAATGTTCGAAAAAAACGAAAGAGAATAGTCGTTCAATTGTTCAATTTAGATTTATTACATTGCTTGGCAATTACTTAATTAAAAGATTAAATGTCTGATTGGGGTTATAGATCTGCAACGGATTGGCGGCATAGATGGTGACCGGTAGATTCCACACCATCGTCTCGACGGGCATCTCGGCGGGCGCCTTCAGTTCACCGGACTCAGGATTGGGGCCGCCGAAATCCATCATCGTGCTGGTTACAAATTCAAAATGCAGCCGCCACTTCACATCGACGAGGTCGGTACGGAATGTGGGCGTCACGTGGAGGGGAATGGGCACCACCACCTGCGTCTGCAGTGTGGCATAGCACACCTGATGCGTGGTGGCGATGGTCGAGAGTTTGCCAGTAGGCGCTGGTGTGTCCTTCTCCCGGGCACTGCCCGAAGTGGCCGATCTGTGCATACTGTCCACCGCCACGCCGCTGGCTATGCTGGCCATGTCAAAGGATTGTATGGAGGAGGCATCGTCCCCGACAGACGACTGCGACTGTGACAGGGCCTGTGCTGGCTGTGGACGGATAGGAAGCTCCTGCTGCTGCAGCTTCACCGAGAACTGGACGCAGCGCACCTGACAGCCATCAAAGTCCAGGCTCCCCACAATGTCCTCGCCTAGCTTATAGGCGGGTTTGAACAGGCAGAAGCGGCCAACGAACCCACGTTTGTTCGAAATGCGATAGAACTTTGGAGCCCGACGTGCAGTCACGTTCTAAAAGGGAATGAATGTCACTCTAAATGGTAAATGGTAGCTGGTACCCGGAGAGGTGCTTTACTCACCTTTAGATGATGCCAGGATATCTCCAGTTCGCTTATCTCACGCTTCTCCAGGAAGGGATTGGTGGGCGCCAATTCCTCGTTGGTTTCGACCGTCACCGGGAGCTCGTCTGGTCGGGCTATAATGGGAATGGGAAGCACGCGAATGGGCACTGTAAGTGTCTGAACCTTGGACTTGACCCGCTGCGTGGCTATGGTGATCTTGTAGAAGTATCTGATGTCGTGGCCGCGATATGTGGGCGGACCATCGCGCGGCACAAATTCATTAAAGAAATCTGTAGATTGAAGGTCACTTCTGGATAAATTCCATTTGCTCTGGCAGACTCCCACTCACATATCTTGGTCTCGCCGGGCTGCAGCTTTAGGTCGCAGAACAGTATCTTCGGTTTGGTAGCCACAATCACCTCTCCGGGCGTCTGAGTCACCGCGTCCAAGGCGGTTCTTCCTATGAGCTCGGTCAGCTCTTGCGTCTTGTCCGCTGCGGGCGTGGAATAGCTGGTCTTGCGGTAGCAGTGAAGCTGTGCCGAGGCCCAGGCAAGGTTCTCCAGGCTGTAAAATATGGAATTTAACAAGCTAATTCGCGTCATTGGCTGAAACTCGTACCCTGCTTCGTTGGCATTCCTATTGGACGGCGGCTGCTCGTCGGCAAAGACTTTGTGGGTGAATTCAATCAAACACTCTACGCGTTCGCCCGTGGCATAGATGGCCGAGTCGGCACGCACCAATTTGGCCTTAATTTCAATCATCTACGATATGATTTTTTGCTATGTTTACTTCTGTTTGTTGTCTATACCGTCTGAGAAATATACCAAAATATACAAACGTCCATGCCCTGGTTAACAACAAATGAGTCTTCAAATACCAGGAACATTGCGACTGTTTTTTTTGTTGACCTATTTTGTTTAAACCTTTTTTTACAATAAATACAATAAAAACATGGACTAAAAACTAACCAATTGTGTAGAAAATTGATGCATTAATTGAATAAAATTATGTGGGCAGCGCTGAGGGTTATATTTAATTAGTTATATTCCACGGAAGATAAAAAACGAGGAATATGTAAATAGAACTTAGTTGGTCAGTATATTTACGGTATATTTTTAAAATGTGACGGTATATTTTGATATATTTCTGTGGGACGGTATATTTTAACGATAAGCGGTCACACTGCTGTCGATAGTGACATCGATAGTATACAATTGTTCTTCGAAGAACATCGACAGTGCAATCGATAGTTCTCCACCTCTAGTTCAAATCGAGACATTGGGTTCTTTTGTGTCAAATTTCGTTTTTTTCTCTCGTTTAAGTATTTCGAATAGGCCAATCATGTATAGAATTGATTCATCAATCGCACAAAATTGAGTGGGCATGGCTAAATGTTCTATATAGATAGTATTATTCAACGGAAGAAAGAAGACGAGGAATATGTACATAGAACTTGAATGCGTCAGTATATTCTCGGTATATTTTAAAAATGCGGCGGTATGTTTCGGTATATTTCTGAGGGTCGGACGGTATATCTTATCGATAAATCCGCGGTCACACTGATCACTAATGTTTAAACCGCGAACCATGAAACAACACGAACGTGCCGAATTTTTTTTCTGAATTCAGAAAAGTCCGCTGTTATTTTTCGCAAGCCGCGCGCGTCGCTCAAAACTGCGGACTGCGCAGCCGTCGATGCCGTTGCGTCGCGAAATGTGCAACAACAAAAATACAAATACAAATACAAGTGCAACGAAAAAAGTGAACAAATCTTCAATTGTGGCCTTAATTTAATTAGTTAATTAGGCAAGAGTGTAGTGTAGTGCAAAAAGTGCAGTTTTTACATCCGTACTTCACTGGAAAATTGGAATATACATAATAATACAATCACGCGGCTAGACGCCAGAAAGAGGTATTGCAATTGAGTTAATTATGAGTTCTTGCTCTTAATTGTTTGCAAAATAAGTGCCCTCCCCCACTCAACTGATTCCCCCTCGTCCACAACAAACAATTGCCATGTCCGGCTTAGCAACAAAAACAACAAAGACAGCCAGCAGCGCAACAGCAGCGACATTCCAACGGCGTCTGCAGTTCTACACACAAACACGAACACATACACATACACGCGTGCTCCACCCGCTCTTCTTTCTTTTTTGTACTATCCGCTTTTGAAGCTCTTTCTCCCTCCTCGTAACAGAAGCTCCTTCCCTCTTCCCTTTGAATACGTAACAGGATACGTAATTCTCTACGCTTATTCTCCCCCGCTCCAATACGTAACAGTGGCTTCTCCACGCGTGATGGGATGCGGTTTAGAGAGTAGATCTTCTTGTTAAGCCCCCGAAAAGGGTGCGACACAGCATTACTGGTCCTCCTTCTCCTCCTCTTCTTCTCCTTCTTGTTTTTCGGTTATTTTTTGTTGTGCTGCTCACCTTCATTTGTTATCAGCTTTTTACCTTTGTTTTTTGATCGTTTGTTTCGTGAAGATGTTGCTTCCATCACACGAAAAGTCTCCACTCTACTCCACACTCACTCAAGCGCGCTCTCTCCCCCTCTCACTCACTCACGCAGAAACAACAGCTATACCTGTTTTAGTGGAGGAGAACAGCTCTGCTTCACAGTGATGGTGTGTGAGAGAGAGAGAGGAGCAGAGCAGAGTCTCTGCTTGCGAGAGCACAGGAAACCTGTGGATAAAAAAAGTAACAACAACATCACTGGAGAGCAGACTGGAAGATTGGAATTTTTAGTGCTGCTTGGCTGTTGCTGTTCCTCTTTGACCAACAGGTTTTTAGTAGCAGCAGCGCAGCAGCAGAGGCGCTCTTTACATGATTATTTTTCTACTACGTTTTTGTCTTTTTTTTTTTTGTTTGTTTGCGGGAGTTCTAGCTTTTGCCACCTCCCGTTTCTACTTCTATTTCTCCTGCTTCTTCTTCCACTTCTTTTGCATGGCAAAAGTTTCGGTCATTGTACTGTTGTCTTGCCTACCACAAAGCAACAACAACTACAATTACAAGCCTGTTTTGCGGTTCTTGCCAATTCTCGATTATCTTTTTTTTGTAGCTCTATTTTGGCGCTCCCTCTCCCTCTCTCTCTGTTTTGTATGCTGCCGCTGCATGGCTATGCATTTTTCATAGCTGAACTTTGTACTTTTGTTGCATGACTCATGAGATTGTTACACCGCCTAGGATGGCGGGGGGGGGAGAGGGAGCAGAGGTTTTGCCATGAATTGGTGACGGAGGCTAATTTGATCTTCCAAAGTGCGATACGTACGGCACTCTTATCGTTCCCGGGAAATCAAAGAAGATTTCCCTCTTAAAAGTCCTTAAATAACAACAATTACCGGCAGAGGGAGTGAGTAGAATGTACATATTACCTTTTTGGCCCATTATCAATGAGCACGTTCCACATTCCATTCCGTTCTGTATGCCTTATCAATGTGTGTCCCAAAAAAATAAAGGTCCCAGATAAACCAAAAACTATGACAATAAACACACAATGCAATTGCATTGACAGCCGCAGAAAGAGGAGGAGCGGGGGAATGGGAAATGGAAGGGGAAGGGAAAAACAAATATCAAAAGTTCAACAAATAAGGTGGGAAACAGAGCCAAAGAGAAGACGAGAGCAAAAGCAAGAGGCGAATGTAGGCCGAATCGGATCCGATCAGACGCCCATGTGCGGCGAGAAAGAGAGAAACTGGGACACACACTCAGCGACAGAGAGACGGAAAGAGAGAGAGAGAGAGGGACACCACTTACACGTGTGTACAGGTGTGCGAGTGGGCCAGACAGGTGCCCGATAATCCAATTACGATGCGATATAGCCCACACATAGATTCCATTCAAACAACGGCGGCCCACGGCGGTCTATTTGCTCATTGATAAAAGACTTTTGAACAAATCAAGGATCCACAAAGAGGGTAAACAATAGACTGTGTCCCTGTTTCAAGGAAACTCGCCGAATTCCATCTCCATCTGGTTTTCCAAGTAAATATTATCGCAAACCCCAGGCCACCAGACCCCCAGACCCCCAGACAATGGTCTTCAGGTTGTTTTGGAAACACCTTCTGGCAAACGCAATGATTGTCCACTTCCTTCTCAGCAAAGTTGTTGAGCAATCGCCGGCCCCAACGATAGAATTGCTGCAACATGAGGAATGGGGGGGGAATGGGTTGACCAACTTATCGCCGCCTTTGCCACTTATCAGCAGTTCCGACTTTTAACTTAAGGAATTATTACGTAGCATTCGATTGCGTTTTAGTTGATTTCTTTTTAGGGGTTCTCTTGGGGTAGTAGTGTAATAATTACTGATAGTATATCAGGTATGCTCTAAATATAACAGTGAAGAAAGACGACACTGTTTCTGTTGAAAGAAGGTGATTTTTTGCTGGCTGGAATTTTGAAACTCTTCCGCTTCTAGAGATCTCTGCAAAAACCTTTATATTTCTAGGGATTTCTGTTCTTTGGAATGTTCATATTTTGAGACCCGCTTCCCCCTCTCTCTTCCTGGCCGCCCAATCACTGCTGCTCTTGTGGCACAGCTGCAACTTAACGCCACTGCAGAATGGGGCACAGGAACCCCTTCCACTAAGTGGCACCCCCTTTGCTCATTGCGCCTCTCTCTCTCTTATGGATTTACGCCTATTTAGCAATTCCTTTTTCCCCCCCCATTTTGGCGCGTAATTGGAGTCTCTCTCAGAGATTTTCAGATTTCACAGAGATTCAGAATTCTCTTTCTGTTTATTTTTGGTTCTGCCACTCCTCCGTCTGGCTCTGCTCCTGCGCCTGGCCCTGCCCCTGCACCGCCTTTTGTTTACATTACTTTTGCTTTCGACCGATCCCGCAATAATCCCATAAGTATTGGGATATCTGTATATCTGTGTGTGTTTCGCCTTTGGCTTTGCTCTTTCGTTGGTTTTTGTTGTTGTTTTTTTGCACAAATTATAGTTTATTATTCCACAGATTTTTTGGGCGGAAGGAGGGGAGTGGAGGGGAGAGTTTTATCTGGAAATCGAAGCTTTTGTTCGTGCAGCTGTTTGTCTCCCTCTCCCTCTCTCTCTGTCTATAAGGTGGGTGCTCTCTCTCAACAAAAGATCGTATGGATCCGCCGCGCGCATATCATAATTCATGGGAAATCGTAAAATCCTCTATAAAAAACCTAAAAATTAGCTTGAAACAAATAAAAAACAAAACAGAAATGTGTAAATAGTCGCACATGAGTTATGGATATCCGTTTTTATTGTTTTCAATTTGTTTTTAGCTTCATTTTGTGTGGGGGGGCTTTTTGCATTGAAGATTAGATAATATTTTGTAAATTATATTCTCGAAATATGAAACTCTTTCTTGCGGCGTTCTTTGGGACATTTACATGTGTTTTTTCTTAAGATTTTATCGAATATAGAATTCTCTTTGAAGTTCCCATGAGTTTTTCCCTACGCTGATCTCCAGTTTCTTCAGTTTTTTTGGTCTATATAAGGTATATGAAACCTTTACCCAAAATCCCAAATGAAGTCTCGAAAATGTGTTGAAAATTCATTGCACATTCAGTGCCTGGATCGATCGAGTGTGTGCGGTCAGTGCCACGCCCATTTGTGGTGAGGGGGCAAAGGGGAGTATGTGTGTGTGTGTGTGTGGAGGAAACCCGTTTCGCAAATCCATTCGCTTGAAGAAATCAAACCCGTTTCCATTTCCAACCGTCTCTCCAACGAGGCCTGACTGACCGTGATTTTTGCTGTTTCTTGTTGTTGTTGTTTTTTTGTTTTGTTTGTTGTTTGTTTTTTTTTGCGAGTGAGTGAGTGAGTTAT